GTAGATTTAGATTAGATATTAGGAATAACTTCTTTACTGTGAGGGTGGTGAGGCACTGGAACAGGTTGCCCAGAGAGATTGTGGATGTCCCATCTGGATAGGGCTCTGAGCAGCCTGGTCTAATGGAATGTGTCCCTGGCCACAGCAATGAGGGGGTTGGAACTAAATGATCTTTAAGGTCCCTTCCAAGTCAAGCCATTCTATGATTCTATGATTCTATGATTTTATGATTCTGTGTATTAATTAGAGAGACCAAGTCTGACTATTCAGTTTGTTGAGTAATTTTAGATGCAGCCTCTGAAAATTATTTGTCTAAGTTTCTAGTTACCTGATAGAATTGCTGTATTAATTAACAGCTACATTTTAGGGTCAATTAAATGCCTAATGCGGGCTGACTCTTATAATAAAACTCTGCTTCTTGCCTTAAGTATCTGCTGAGAATCTAGTGTGCCTGGATTTGAGTAAAACACTGAAGTGCATTCTTTGCTGAATATCAGTAGTCTGGGTGGATTTGGGGAAACATCTCAGGGTATTTTATCTCCAGTATTCAAGACTCTTTGGAAATCAGCATGACTGGTCATACACGATAACAGACTCTCTCCTATTTTGTGCTTTTTTTGGCTTTGTAAGAGAGACAAGGCTGTAGTTTCTAGCACTTCTCAGCTTTTCAGGATCTCACTTGAATTCATGGTATCTCAGCATTAGCTTTTGGTATGGATAGTGCTGCCGAAGATGAAGTATTTTAGTGAAAAGGTTTTTTTGGTGGTGTGAATTTTGCTTTCCCTTTATGTTGAAAGCATATATGTTGCAGATATAAAACCTTTGGTAATTTATTAAGGGTTTTACTCTCTGGCTTGAAATTCAATTGAAGACTGTGAAAGACTTCTCACAGAAAAAAAACTTGACAAATTTATGTCTTGTAAGATATTATTATATCCCTCTGGATCCAAGAGTAAAGTAATCGAACAGCAGCATATTAATAGGAAAAATATTTAATTGCTGTCAGGATACAACTTTTGAATTATTCCCTCAGGAAAATACGTTTTTGCAAATATCTACTCTGTTTCACTCTTTTGTTCTTAAGTAAATAACACATTAAAACTGCAAAGGTGTTTTTAATAATATGCTTTAAGTTGAAATGCATTTTTATATGTTTTAGATATATATCAAGAATGTAAAAAAATAATAATACAGTATATGTGTACTTTCATAGGGGCTTATTTTTAAGTTGTTCTTGTTTTAAAATTTAAAGAATTATTTTAAAAGTGTTTAAAAGCAGTTTAATCCTATAAATGAATTATTTACTCCTTATAAAAGTAGTTTTTTCCTCTCTATGATGTCTTAATTTTTTCTTATTTTACTAGTTATTTTTTATGACTTTTAGCAGTGGAGAGAGTTCTCTGTGTGTAGGGGGTTTTGTTTTCAGTTTTGGTGGATTTTTTTGAGAAAATCTGAAATTTTGAAGCTATGCTCTTAGATCACAAGTTTTTGCAAGTTATTTACGTATTCGCAGATCTCTGTAATACTAGTACCCACTAATTTTGTGTAATTAAACAAATAGTGAGTTCTGGAGTATGGCGGTGCAAGAAGGGCATAGATAGGTATCAAGTAAAGAAGCAGCAGTTATATAGGATAATCAAGGAGAAATTATTTTTAAAGATATAACAGAGTACTGAATGCAGATGTCTCTAATGTCAATGTTGCTGGCATAAAGTATTTTTTGAGCTTATTTGGGGAATTTGTTAATTTATGTCTTAATTTTTATGTTCTAGATTAAATGTTAGATTAACTAACATTTTTCATTATAAACCCCTTTTTTACAGTTGTAAATTCATCCAGAAGTTTGTGTGCCAGTAGTCTGTATCATAATGAATTTTAACAGGAATTTTAATATTGTCATTTTTCAGACTGTGTACTTTTCCCAATTCATGCATTTTTGCAGCTTTTAAAATATTCACCAAATTATGGGCTTACAGCTTTCAGTGACTTTCAGTCAAGATGTTTGATTTGATAGCTACCTTTAGAGCTTCTCAGTGTATCATCCATGTTCCAGTTCAGTAGAGCTGCATTTGCAGTGCACTTCCTGCTCTCAGCTTCTGAGAGCAGAGGGTGAAAGAATTAGTGTTGTGGCCAGCTGCTGTGGATGTAGCTCATGGCCTGGAATTTAATAAAGCATGGGACGAAGAGGAAGGTGAAAGGGACAGACTCTTTAAGACTTAGATGTGGGGAGGAGCGCATGGGAATGTAGCTTAGTATCAAAGGGTTTGAGGTTAAGGAGGAGTTAAAATACGCAATCTAAAGAAAGGACACCAAAACCAGAAGCAGAAGGAAACAGAAGATGGATGATTGCAAATAATGGGCAGGGAAGAAAGGCAGCAAAGGGTAGGTAGATGGTGAGAATAGGAAAATCAGCAGGTTAGCCAAGACAGGTGTATGAGAGGATCTTGTTACAGCAGGAGCTTGTCGGAGAAGGATGCATGAATTAAGTGGATATGAAATAACAAGGAGGAAGACCATCAAGGAAACTAGGGGCAAGAAGCTGAAACTGGGAAGGAACACAGGAAAAGAAAGTAGAGAACAATGTGGATGAACAGAAATGTTTTTGAGCACTTGTATACACACGTCTGCATGCTGGAGCTGACGTTTATTCCCACCTGAACAATTCTCTATTACTGAGCAAGTAACTGTGAAACGTGGAGGCAAAGTGCATTGTGTTTTACCTGTGATGGGCCAGCGCACACAGGAGAGTTGCTTTTTGGCATTACTGTTGAGTCCATTCCTGAAAATTGGAGAGCTCTGTACCATGGATCCGAGCTTACTGCCAGCTCTTCAGGTGGCAGTGTTGTTCATGGATTTGTTGCTGTTCTTGTTGCAATTTTGAAGGTTATATAGGTGTAAGGAAGGATGCTAAAAATAAAACCAAAAGATCTTTAATGTGAAGATAAGCTTTCTAAACTTACAGAACTGCGGTAGCTAACAAAACTGCAAACTGTCTCATGTGGTTATGCATATGATAATAATATGCTGTTTAAAAAGAGCTTCTGCATATGATCCTGTAGATGGTAAGCTATTAAAGATTTTATGAATTAGAGAGTGGTACAACTTGTATTTCATAATCAGCATCTAAATATTTGTAGAAAAAGAGTAAAAAATAATCTCTTCTTGTAAATGTATCCTTTTCTTCCTTGGGTTCTTTGTTGCTTCTATTAGATCACTACTCTTACTAGCACACAGGCATCTGACAGTATTATTATAGAGATGTGTTTTAAAAAGTAAGATAGTGAAGATGTATTTCCTGAAGTGTACATAAAAAAATATGTTTTCTAAAAATATATAGGATATCTAAGTGTAGAGAGGATTGGCAATAAATATCTGATTTTAATGATAAATTAGGATTTTCACCTGGTAACTTTGAAATGTCTTATAGAGTTTGTAGGAATGTTGTTAGGAAAGTGTATTAAGAGTTGTTCCATTAAAAAACATCCTTATTCTGGGCCCTAATCCTTTAAAGACTTGAAAAAAATCACTTGTGCACTCAGAAAGCAGTATTAGCAAACTGTTCCACTAATGTATTTTAGGTGCCCAAGTGAGAGTGAAAAATGCCTGAAGTGCAGCTATGGGTATAAACCTCATTGAGAGGTGACTATTTCCTTCAAGATCTAAAACTAAGCTCAGAAGTGATAGTTTGGATTTTGGTTTGGTGAGGGTTTTGTCTCAATGTTTAAAGGCAGTGTAAGCTAAATAACAGGATGATCTACTTTTTTTTTCAGATAAAATTTAAAAATATCTCTTGTTTATTTTAGATCAAGTGTTTATATACTTCTATTATTGCAAAAGAACATTGGGAAAAGTTTTTCTCTTTTCTAATGACACTATTGCATTTTTATTAATACACTATGACAATGCCCAAAAGGACGAAAAAAACCCCAAGGTTCAGAGCTTATGGATATGTTCTGTTAAACTAGTGTTAGCACAGAAGTATTTCAGCCTTATTCCTACTGTATGTCTCGTGTCTAGCCTACATCATTCTCTTATGTCCCTCCAAATACCACCTGTACGCTTCCTCTTTATAAAGAAAACTGTGCTCCAAAATGCACTGCCCATTATTCTTTCTATTGCAATTCCTGCCTTGTCCTTTTTCTCCTTGGAGTGCAGTTACATCAGTCCTCTATCACAGAAAACTGCGAGTGAAGTTGGTAGTTTTCTGCTACCAAGTCAGCCCTCTACAGCTGTAGTATATTTAATCAAACTGTGGTGGTTTCCTTAGCTTTCCACAAATTCGTATATACTCACTGTGGTGTTATGCTCTGATGCCTTTTCTCCCAAATCCTACCCACAGTGCCCTCCTTGACCCGATAGGCTGATGGCTTCCAGACCACTGTAATTCATGGGCTTATTCTTGATGTACATAGTATAAATGTTTGTCCCAAGTGAAACAGAAGATTGCAGCCTTGTACCTGCTGTTGATACTATTTGCTCTATTTGTGTGGCTGTTTTCCCTGGTGCTCTGTTATCCGTTACCAGCTCCTGTGCCTCTCTGTCTGTACAGTACCTGTCATCATGGTATTGATCTTTGCAGATTCTAGAGTGTGCTTTACTGTTCTGTCCTTAACTGTAGCCTATTTTGTGGAGTATTCTCTCTTGTGAGCATTTGCTATGGAGATAGTGGGGAAGAGGAGAGCTGTGAATGCAGTGCTTTGGGGTCTGTTCTTGGAGGATGACTGGGCAAAGCAAAAAGTAAACAGTGCGCACAACGAATTTCTGAGGTGCAATTCCTGAAAAAGCAGAGGTCCAAATAAATGCATTATTATGTGGTTTTCTTTTTATATTAATAGACCACATTGTTTTCATATTGAGATGTTAATTTGAATCATAGTAAAGGTTTTGTATTTGCTTCATCAAACTACTGCACTTGAAGATTCATACATGCAGAAGTAACCATTCATATGACTTTCTCTGCTTGAGAGATTACACATTTCTTTCTACTCATATTCTTCCAGGTGACTTGGATTATTACTGGCTGGATCCTGCCACGTGGCACAGCAGGGAGACGTCCCCTATTAGTTCGGTAAGAAATAGAAAAAAAGAGGTTCATAAGTATGAATTAAAATGTTTGCTAATTATTTCAGTTCAGCATAGTTATTTGGATGTAAAAAAGTATTCTATAGAAATTATATGAAGACTTGCTTTAGAGTACCATGGAAATGGAAATCTGAAAGAAATTTTCATCAAAGTGTATATTTGTAGAATTGCCTGAATTTTAACTTGAATTTAATTCTTTCATAGTCATGACACTAGAGTTTACTACAAACCACAAAAGAAGCAGTTGTGAGTGTGATGCTGCTCTGGGAGAGATTGGTGATTTTTTCTATTGACTTGGAGTTGGAAAGGATCATTTTGATTTTATTATAGAGTGAACATCCATATGGTAGAACTGCATAACGTGTATTATTCCAAAGAACAGAATTTCCGAATGCGCTTTTCAGGGTCATGTAATTTAAAAGTAAATGTTTAATTTTATTACCTAGGGTGTGTTTTGAACATTTAATTCTATTGAACTTTAAAATGTATTATAATTCTACCTGCAGACTTAGTGCTGAGATTTTCTTGCTGAGGATGTAAATGTTTAATGTTGCCAAAGTCCAACAGATATAATAATAGAAAGCTCGGGTGCAATATGTAACACATCTGAAGGATGTTCGTGTCTACTGTGACATAATGGTATAGAAATTGTATTGTTTTATACATGTGCATCTAAATACTGGAAGATGTTCACACTTCTTTAATTCCACTGCTTGTTTTTTTTTTAACAGCATCCCATAACGTGGCAACCTTCCAAAGAGGGAGATCGCTTAATTGGGCGTGTTATTCTTAACAAGAGAACAACTATGCCAAAAGAATCAGGTGCATTACTGGGGCTAAAAGTAAGTATTACGTGGTTTGTCTGCTAAATGAAAGAAAGCTCCACTGACCTTAGACATAGAGGTCTAACACACTAAATCAGAGGACGCTCCAATCATATGGTCTTTTGACAAAAAAATGGATTCCTCTTTTTGAGTAACTTTTGAAAGCTATATATATAACTTATGAATGTAAATACATTTGCTCCTTCTATGCACTCTTCCAGTCATCCATGACAAAAGAGCTGAACTGTTTTGATTAAAAAGGGTATGTTTGTTCAGCTTCCTGTCTGCAAGACATATACTGCCCATTGCAATACACTAGTGGAGTCCTGCCTTTTCTAGCTCTCCTGTTTGCAATTCAGTCGAGTAATACATTTTATAATCCACACACATAAATATCATATGAATGCAAATGTTTACAAGGTCATTTTTTAAAATCCACACAGCCATTGGAAAATTGAAATTTTGTAGAAAGAAACTAAAAATTTACACAAAAATTTGCAAAAAACCCTCTTAAATCATAGCAGAGGTTAAATTAAATGTAATTCCTTAATCCAGTGCCCTAAAACCGAGACATTGGCAGCACTGTTCAATTGATTTAAATCCCTAACTTGGTCATTTGCAGCAGATTTTAGATTCATATCTCTAACTTGCAAGAACACTTGAAGTAGAGAGAGTGATACTTTTGAAGCTGGTGGAGAGTACAGTTCAAGCATTTCTCTCTCCATGTATATTTTTAAATCTATGGAGCTCCAAAGATGACTGAGAGAGTTTAATTTGGGTGTCTTTCTCCACTAAGAACAACAGAAGCAATGCAAAATCTGAAATATTCCCACTGTGACATGAGATAGTGTGGCATGGTAAAACAAAAGATGAAAACAGCTTCACTCTACTTCATGTTTAGTGGTTTATAGCACAAGGCTGATTTTTGCTGGTGGCAAGCAATTCTATTTGAATATGTGAGAAAAAAAGGTCGGTCCTAGTAGGAAATGTAGTAAGTAGAGTTTGTCTTTGATTTTTCAAGTTTTGTCAGTTTTGTGTAATATGAACTAAGGCCCTCACTGATAAATTTTACACATTATCATGTGATAACTTTGGCAGGTAGGCTTCTGGATCTTTTTTGATATTAATGCTCCTACTAGTTATTGTGATTGCATCATAGGGAACTTACTGAACCAACATTCCACTGTTTTTATTACAAAACTCCTGCCAGGATATTCTTGGGGAAAAAAAAAAAACCAGAAAAACCCACCTGAGTGGGGAGAGTAAGTCAGCTAAAGAGAATAGCAGGTCAGCAAGACTGCATTTTCTTTGTTTATATTTTATTTAAAATCTGACCCCTTGAGAGCACTTTTTTTTTTTTTTGATGTTCCTGTATCTTGTACTCCTCTTCAAAAACAGATATGTTCAGTTCTGTTTAACAAAAGCCAGAAGTCGGTGGTTTGTCCTGTCATATGCTTGGATAAGAGAGCCTGGGTTCACACGCTTTTGAACTGGTTGCCCATGTTTCATAGCAGTATATTTACTTAGTTTTCAATTGTTGTACCAATTGCATTTTGTGATTTCATACACTTGATTTGATGCGCACTTGCAATTTAAATTTGAGCACATCACAGACAATTATTTGTAAAAAGTACATTTGCTTGGTTATTAATTAAGATGCACTCTTTCTGCAACAGATGCAGATACTTAGCAAACTTCATAAGATTGATTAGTCAAACACATTTAAAGGAATATTGATTTTATTCATTCTGTGTTAGCTTTACTAGCTTTACTTCTTTTTGTCTTTGGGCGTCTGTAAAACCCAAATTGACAATAGATTTGCTTATGCATATTTCAGGTTTAATTTTAAAAAAAATGTGAAAACTGATCTGTCTATATGTTTATGCATGATATGATGTCTGATTTGTGGCCTGGAAACTCACAAATTTATGATTAACCAGGTTGTTGGAGGAAAAATGACAGAATTAGGTCGACTTGGTGCCTTCATTACCAAAGTGAAGAAAGGTAGCTTGGCTGATGTGGTGGGGCATCTCAGAGCAGGTAAATCAATCAGTTGCATATAAAATATATTGTCTTTTAATAATGGCCTATCAAATGCAAATTTTAATTTATATTAACATTCATCATGTGATATGCTAATATTTTTAAAATACAATGCTGTAATGTTATTATGGAATGCCACTGTAATGTATTATGGAATACCATGGTTGCCTACATTTCTTATTTATTATTAGCTCCAATTGCTTGGATGTATTAGCAAAATAAAAGAAACTCCTCAGTAATTCTGGTGTCAGGACTGAGTATCACTGGTAAATTTCTGTTTGCTAGCTCAGGAGCTGCTTGTTACACTCTACAGGAGCCATGCAAACATTTTTTTAAACTGATTGTGACAAAACTCACTAGAGTTATTTTATCTGTACTATAGTGTCACCTGAAGGATGACACACTGCATACACGGTGGATTTTATTAGTGCTTCTTTCAGTGTGAATTGTTACAAATAAAAATGGAAAACAAGCCAAGAAAATGGTCCTGAAATATTTCATTTCTGTAAGAAATATATATTGCATTTACAAATAACTGGATGTGCTGCTGGCACTTTTTAAGCTTCTAAATGAAATGAGAATTATGCACAGCAGTTGGTTTTCAAAGTAACTTCTTGATGGTTTATGTTTTTATCATGACTCTAAGCAAGAGCTTTCCAAATGTTGTCTTAGCAAACCAAAGCTGGTGCAGCGTCCCAGGAACCCAGATGTTCCATGTCAACCTGTATAAATTTAGGATAATTGCATGAAGCAGATAGTAATAGAGAAGTAGAAAGGATGATGAGTCTCTAAAAATATCCTACTTTGTTTTGGCATTTGTTAATTTTTTTTTACTGAGTCAATATACTTGGGATTGATAGCACCAACTATTATAGTTGCATATAGACTTTAAATGCAGCTTATAGTTAAAGAAAATAAGTTCCTCTCCGCTAATCTTGAACTATTTAGACTGAAATAATAAATTTCTAATGTCTGGTCTAGAGATTTTTTTTTAAATCAAGACTATTTTTAATTTCTAAAAATAGTTTTATAGCCAGAATTATTTCATGGAGAAAATACATTGTTTTGCACATATTTTCAATGCATGAAAGGCTGTTCGTCCTATTGTATGGGAATAAAACACACAAAAAAGGTGTGGACAAGTCCTTGCTGTTAGGAAAACGCACTTTTACCCTTACAGAAAACCTCCAAAATTTGTCTAGTTGATAAATCTTTGAGTAATTATACAAACCTCTTAAATTTTAATAACAGCAAATATGAAGTCTTGCATGAGGAACAGAACATCACAGTAATCACTAGGAGCCAATCAACTAGAGAGCAGCTTGGCAAAGAAGTGTCTGAAGGTGCTGGAGGACAGTCAGTTGAACATGAGTCAGCAAAGCGCCTTTGCAGCAAGTGCCAGTCATGCAGAGGACTGTATTAACACAGTTGTAGCCAGCAGATTGAGAGGTGATTGTTGCTCTTATTCAGTGCTTATAAGACCATGTCTGGTGTCCTGTGTCCAGTTTGGGCTTGTCTAGGACAAAAGAGGTACTGTCAGACTGGACTAGGTTGGGCAGAGGGACAGAAAATTAATTAAGCATGTGAGATACAAGAAGCTGAGAAAAATGTTTTTGTTCAGACTGGCAATAAAAAGACTATTGGAGGGTCTAATTCTTGTTTTTACCTGGCTAACGGGAGGCAATAGAAACCCCAGAGCTGGAACTGTTCTTAGAGGTGATCACACAAGATCACACTGATCACACAAGAACCAACATGCACAAGCTGGAATGAGGGATATCCTCTTTGTGAAAACCCTTTTTCTTGTAACCAGAGAGGTCAGTTAAGACTTGGAAGAGGTTACCCATGGGAGGCATATCCTTCCTTTGAGAGACTCAAATCTCATCTGGTCAAATTCCTGAGCAACATGGTCTATCCTTTGATGGTGGCCCTACTTTGAGTGGGGGTTTGAACTAGCTGACCCCCAGAGGTATCTCCCAATCCAAGTTACTATTTCAGAAATCAATATTTCAAAAAAACCCAGAGATTTTCAGCATAAGTCTGAAAACTATCACTGCTGAACATGAATCAGTAAGTGGGGGTAGAATGCAAGATCCATTAATATTCCTTCCTAGAGGCATCTTAGATATCCTGAGATATATGCCTCACCTGCAGAAGTGCCTCCATAAGAGTGCAAGTGTCTTGTAGGTCTGCCAGCTGGCTTTGTGCAGGTATTTTGGTTGTCCTAAACATCTGCAGTGTAAGGTGTTAAACAACTGCTTCACTGACTGACTTCCAACTCTGAGCTACTACAGTGGGATGCAGGACCAGGGAGTTTATCTCACCTGAAACTGTAGCAGTGCATCACAGGATCGTAGAATGGTTGAGGTGGGTAGGGACCTCTTGATATCCCTAGTCCAGCCCCACTGCTTAAGCAGTCAGCTAGAGCAGCTTGCACAGGACTGTGTCAGGTATATGTCCGAGTTTTGACTATCTGAATGTTTGTTTTACTGTTCCATTACTGTTACTGAGAGCAGAAATCAGGTCGTAAGTCTTATATACATCATCTTAGGTGAAAGAGACAATGTAAAAGGGCTTGGCTGGTCAAAAAGATAAGAACTGAGTAAAAGATGAATGATGGCGATTTGATTTTTATTAGCAGAGGTGTCATTTCACTCAAATCTCCATTTGGATCTAGTTTTCAGAAAGAGTAATTGGAATCAGTTCTGTTAATTTAGCATTCTGACTATGATGATCTAATGTTTAATCATCTGGGTAATTTTTGTATTTATTTTGATCTCCTAATGGCTCTCAAAAGTAAAAAAAGCTTCTTAAGTCCTCTAAATAGTCGTACAGACACCTTACATGTTCCTCTTTAAGATTCTTAATCATGTTGTATATAGTTTGTCTTCTTCAAAATATGATAGATTCATTCCTGTGTAAATTAGGTTTAAATCCTCATTTTTTAGTGTTACAAATTTCACATATGCCCCTGTTGGGTTTTTTTTTGCCCTTAAAATTGTAGCTATTGCAAAACCCGCTGCCTCTTGTTCCTTTTCATGACTGGGATGCTTTTATCTCTGAAGTTATCTCTGAAGAAATTACATTTTATTTTAGGGGGAAAAAGAAGTGTTAGTTTATAACAGTTGTTAGCTTTAAAATTGAGTCAGAATTGCAGAAGAAACTGAGTCTGTTTTCACTAGGTTGTATATATTTTAAAGGAAATTCCAAGGCAGTATCTAATTCTTGTTCCCCCCCCAACAGAATGTTATGTAATAAATATCGGAAGTATTTTAAAACATATTATCTAAACAGCGTGGTAGAAAATTAAACTTAAGTCAGCAAACATTTGTTAAATCTGTCATTAGCAAGCGCTCATGTTTTAAAGAATGCTTTGAAAGCCAGTGGAATATCGTGTGGATATTCCTGTGGATATATCCTGTAGAGTACTTTCTTAAAATATAGACTGTTTTGGAAAAAGGACTGACAATCGCTGAACAGAAGGAGAAATTGAAGCAATATGTTTTATTAGATAGGACTTAAGTTAGGATAGTTTTTCTTGGCTTCTTAACAAGTGCAAGTTTGATCATTTGGCTTGTGTCTCCTCAGAAAGGAGCAGAACCAGAATGTGAAGGGTTTTTCCTGACTGAATCTGATAAAGTCATTGTCATAAAAGCCATTGTCAATAAAGACAATAAATTTAATAAAATACTTTGGCATGAGAGAGTGGTTATGAATTTTTGGCTGCTGCGTATGATGGGGTGTAAGAGATAAAACGTACCCTACGGTTCCTGCAGCCTAATTGTATATACTGATCTTTCCTCAGAAAAAATACTTCAAGATTTTCACCTTTTTATAAAAAGGCCAAATTAGAATGTAATGTACATACCGTTTAAATTTCAGAAATGGCAAACTGAAAAAAGAAGATTATCTAAATGACTTTCAGTTCATGTTTTCCTTTGTGTGTCCCCCAGCATCCTCAGGAGACAGGGGCTTGCTCATTGCTTTTATTTTTTATTTGTTTGACATAGATAGTGAAGGCTGTCCTTTCTGTAGGGAAATCAAGATGTAGAGTATGTAAATTGTAATAAAACATCGTGATTTTTAAAGGCTTAATAGTAGGTATTTATGTTTTTATTTTTTGAAGATTAACCTATTTTCCGGGTTCATTACAGCTACTTAATAGAGGCTCTTTTAAAAATAATTTCATTTCATAGCACAATAATAGGTCCTGTATTATTTTGGAAATACTTAATACATTTGCACAAGTGGTTTCTTTAATATGTTTTGTGTTTACAAAGTGTAGCTGTGTTCAGAGAAGGAAGCCTTGATGGTGTCTCAAACCCCTTTTTTTTTTGTTTCAGCACAGCTTTTTAAATTATTTCAGACAATGTTACTTGCTAATATAAATTTCATTCTTTGTAAAAGACTATGAAAATGAAATAAACTTCTCTTTAAATTCAAGGGGATGAAGTTCTAGAATGGAATGGTAAACCGTTGCCTGGAGCTACAAATGAAGAAGTTTACAACATTATTTTAGAATCAAAATCAGAACCTCAAGTTGAAATTATTGTTTCAAGGCCTATTGGGTAAGGCTAAAGACTTGTTTCTTAAGCACAGTTATTACTCTGCTAATGGGTCTTCTAAAGGGATTATTTGTGAGTTCATTATTTTTTATTGCTTAATAATGGAATATGATTCACTTTCTATTACTGACATTCAATATATTCCATTTTCTTCACTACCATTTACAATCTTGGATCTTTGCAGTGACAAATGTATAATATATGTATATATAAGTATAAATGTTCTCTGTATGGTCAAAGGAATATGATGGTGTTTGCCAGGTGGCAAAGGAAAATTGGTGAATTAAGTACGCCTCTGCTTTTCAGCATGGTTTTCAGGCTTTCAGCTTCATTAGATCAGAATAAATTATACAAGTCTTCATGAGTTATAGAGAAGCATTTCAGGTTCCTAAGAAGTCAATCCTAGTAGGATTTTAAACAGGCCTTCTTTGAAGAGCTTAAAAAAGGAAATGTAACAGTAAATTGAAAATACTGTATTTATCCTTAAATGATTGTCATCAAAGTCAAAAATGGAAATAAAAGATTTCATCAAAAATTAGCATTAACATTTTATGTTTATAATCTTTATTTTCATTTATTATGAATCAAGGTTCATAACAATTCTTATATTTTTGGTAGCCCAAATAGAGCTTAGAAAGAAAATAAAATCTGTTTGAATTGCTAAGATTAGTGGGGTTGGCCCTGCAATTGTCATAGTTGTTTTATTGATATCAAGAATGTTTTGAGCTGTGTTACTGGAGTGAATATGAATCATATATTTTAAATTCACATTTATATTGCAGAACAGAGTCATGTGATTAACAATAAAAAGTGAATCTTGGCTAGTTAAAAAAAAATCAAATTAAAAGGATTTAAATCTTCTTATAGTTTGTCACCTTCTCAGATTTCATGTGCACTCACTGTATATCTCTAAATAACACTGCCCTATAGGTAGATGATAAACCGTTTCCTCCTTACACGTGATTGTTTCATTTTGAATTTGCTAATTATAATTTTTACGTGTCTCAAATGATATATTTTCAGCTTTAGAAACAAAAAACGATTAGTCTTCTTTCTGATTAAAACCTTCTTTTACATTTTGATTTTTGATTTTGTCTATACTCTGTGTGTGTAGCTATATTTTGCAAATAAATTCTGCCTTTGAGTGATCCCGCACAGATGAAGACTGTGGGGGGAATAGAAACCTTATTTTACATTTTTTGAGTAAGATAAATGAGCAGACGTTCTAGACTGAAAATTGCAAATTCAGTCCTACATCTTTGTAATTTAAAATAAAATGCCTTAAAAGAATTTTTGAAGTCGAGTTTTTATGATCAAATGATCAAAAAAGAGATATGTTGATACTGTACATGACTTAATTCCATGTCTCAATGGAAGAAAACCTGGAAAATTATTTGTACAACTGATGTAAAAGCAAAGTTCTAGACTAGTATTTTAAATAATTTGATCAATATAATTGCAAATGTTATGTGTCAAAATTTAAAGTATTAAAACTTTTTTTAGTATTTCAATACTAAGCCAGTTGAATTATTTTAGTTTACATATTTGATAAATCTAATAATTTTGAAAAATGAAGTACAAGGGGACCTCATTCCAGTGATATATTCCTGAAAAAACCTGAAAGAACGTACTACACTTTTTGCAAGTGTGTTTAGAATCAAAGAACGTTCCTGAATATAAGCAGTGGATTTTACACTTAAAAAATGCACCCAGAAATAGTACCAATAAAATGTAAAGTTTTGCTTTGGCTGACGCATGCATAGTTTTTCCATATATAGTAAAAATAGAGCACATCAGATTGTGCTTTTATTTTGAGATAAATGGAGTCTTGGCATGGAGGTTTTTTATGTAATGTAACACTATTCATGTAAAGCTGTGTCTCAATTTTTTTTCTTTTGCTTGAGGGTTGGGTTGTTTTGGGTTTTTTTAATGAGAAGAACAGATGAATATCCCAAAGTGACCAGAACATATAACTTTAAAATTTACAGATAGTTCTTTTTTTTCCAGCAGTAATGAGTCAAAGCCCTGTTGTTTTGTATCAGATTGGGATTTACCTGTCTGTTGTCTTAAAATAAACAAAAATTTTGGACATACAACAAAGGAAATTCTGATATTATTAAACAAAAAGAAAGAGCATACTGCACAGGCTTTTTTTTTTTAATAATCTATGTAAATTGTGTTGTATAATGGGAAATTATACAACAAATCTGCATTAACAGATTACTTTGATTTTCTCCCTACCTTCACCTTGTCTTGTTTACCAAACTATGACATTGTTTCAAGCTCGTGACCAGGAATTTTTTTTCATCCCATCCAGCAAATTTGGTATATCAAAGTTCTGGTGGCTACTTTAGGCGCTGACTCAGCAAAATTGAAGCTGCTTCATACAGCATGAAGTGATAATCCATTACAGCTTAAATTCCTGTGAGGGAATAGGTTCCCGAAAGGCTCAAAAAATGTTATTTTGTCTGCATAATTTAAGTGTTTTCATCTCTCAGTATTAATAATGCAAATAATGTGGCAGAACAGTTAATGGTCTTGATTTAAAAATTCCTAGCATATTAGGTCTAAAAAGCCAAAATATAACACAGTTTGTCTTAAGTGAATAATGGAAGGACTGTAAGCACACAAATTAGACTGCCCGCAAATTAGACTGCCAGTTACAAAATTGCTGTCCAAACAATTTGCTCAGTCTTGTAAATTTGGATTTCTATGTCTACCAGCAAATGTAATTTTGAGTAATGGATGATTGTAGGATGTTTATTAGAGAAAAATGTGAAGCACATAACACTATTAGCAGATGAAGGCATAACAATAATAAACAATATAACCACAACAGAACCATGAAAACTGCATAGAAGCTAATTGGCACTAGTGCTAATGACTGCAACACAAGGTAGATAAGAAACCTATAAAAAGTAGAATTATTGGGTTGGCTATCTAAATATGAGGGGAAGAATTACCTACAATGTGAGAGGTGGTTAACATAGGACAGCATAGAAAATCCTCTGGCAGTGTGCTTTTTGGAGACGAAACGTGGCATGGTAACTAGCTGTCTCTTGTGTGCTTGGATGAGCTCTATGGGATAGTGAAGGTAAAACAAATGTTTTTTTTTCCTTTGCCTTTCTTTTCTTTGTTGGATGCTAGCTATCTTTGCTTGGATTTCCAAAACTGCTGAAAGTGTTGTTTTTCTGGTGTGATTCAGCTCCTCTATGTGGGCACCATTACTGTGCTCTAGGTCCCTGCAAGGGGGCTGAACCTCCATCATAAACCAGGCAGTACTGAACTCCAGAGAGCTTCTCAAGTGTTGCAATTAGTGCATATTGCAGATTGATCTACAGGTTCTGATGGGAAGGAATGGCTTTGGAAATAGCAGAGTGAGCATCGGGGAGAGGTACTCAGAAACTCTTTAAAACTCTCTAGGGTGAAGAAGATGATACGTCTGTTCCTAGAGCAACCTGAAAAACTGTGGGTTACAACCACGTTTGAATTAGGTTTGCCTTCTGACTATATCAGTCAGAGAAATTATAGCTGTTCCTGTGTTTTACAAAATATATGTCTCACAAACCATATATCTGCACAGAGTAGTTTCAACCTAAGGTATTTGGTGTAATTTATATATTCATTGAGGTGTGAAAGGATCAGACATAAGATAATAACGTGTAATATCACATAAACCACTAAGTATCTTGGCCTTCCAAGGTAGAGATAGAAAGACAAAGTTTGATGTTGGGAGCTCTTTACTGGATGCGTGTCTCACACTACTTTTCTCACATTCATATTACTCCAAAAGGGGAGTGAAATTACAGTTGTGCAACTTTTCACTTTGTTTTTATAATTTTCTTTGACTAGTCTAATTTTGAATATTTTAAGTCATGAGCTAGTGCTTCTTCTGAAGAGCTTTTTTGTAAATCATAGTGTCAGAATATTTTCTGCAATCCAAAATTAAAAGCTGGCTAGATAAGACCAATTTTTTTACCTAAAAAGTTTTAGGTTATAGTTTCCTTTTAGAATTTTCATTCTTTAATAAAATGCTAACATTAAAAAAAATACCACTCACATATTTGATAGTCTAGTACTCCAGTTACCTTTCTTTTGTGCATCTAATATTTAAGAAATTATTATGTAAACTGGATTATTGAATTTGTAAGAAATTCACCTATAGATAGAAGGATAGGTATACTTCAGTACATTTTGAAATCGACAGCAGAAAGCAGAACTGTTACAGAGCTTATTAGAATACTCTGACACAAGTTTGGTGATCACTGCTATACTGCATACTTTCTTTCCTTATCTATTATTTTATTTTATTTTTGTGCCTTGCGCTGTGAAGCTCTACTTAAACAAGATAAATATATTAGGGAAGAGATTTTCTGGCAATAATTTGTATACGCATACACACACATGCACATGCATAATATATCTCTCTCTATACAAATATATATATCTAAATACTATGTCTTTTATATATATAAATTATATGTATATATATTTTTTAAAACCTGTCCATTGTACTGTTAAGTTTTAGAGATTTCAAATAACATTTCTATTGAACCATGTATTTTGTCTGGAATTGAAATTTATGTTCTATCTCATATTTTTTCTGTCAAGGAATCAAAGAGTTTAGACAAATGCATTTTTAAAATTGTATTTTCAATTATTTTCTGTCTGATAAGTAAAGTATTAGGAAAGGTGTGATTGTTTTTGTCATTTACCAGTACTGCAGATGAGTGTTCATATTCTAGCACAAGAAAACATTGCAAACTTAACATTGTATTGAACAGAAAAATCTGTTTGAGTATGGTAAGTAAATATTTCAGGTGGGGAAAAATGCCCTCAAAATACTCCTCTGCAAAGAGAAAAAATGTTATGAGGAAGAAGTCTGCATAGCAGCTCTGCTGTGCATCAGGTCATTAATCTGTTCATATGTTTGTAAAGTAGTGCTGTGCCATGTCAAGAATGTCTAATTCAGTTATATTTCCGTGAGTTTGAGGAAACCACATTACCCTTGTCTTACAAAATCAAGACAAGGAGAAGCACATTCTTGTTTAGTGATGTGAGATGTAAGTTAATGTGAGACTAACTCAGAGCTGAAATAGTCTATTTTAAAACACTGGCACCATAAGTTTAAAATGCAGGACATGAAAAGCGAATTTAAGATTGATTGGTCACTGCGACATTTCTTTTCTGATACAAGTGTCTGTTTCTTTTTCATAAGTGACTTTTATATACATAGAAGTCATAATTTTATTGACTTCCAAGTCAGTAAAATAATGTTTCACTGAACAGACAAATGCCTGAATACCTTTAAAATGCTCAGCTATAGACTTAAAAAATCTTGTAAATCTTCAGAACTGTTATTGTAGTTCCAATTTTGGATTAGTTTGTTTGGATGAAAATATTTTGGAGTAATTCACCCAAGAGATTTGTTTCCATTTTCCTGCTCATCTGCCTTGCTAAGATTTGTAAAATAGCAGTTGTTTCTTGCTCTTGCAATGCATTTTCAATGATGGCTAGGAATAGAAGATAACCAGAAGCTAGCGTCATCCACATTTGGATAGAAGAGTAAATTTGTTGATGGCAAAATTTGATAGATATTTGTGCACTTAACTAGTTTGATTTTGCTTATTGCCTGTATATGTGCTGGGTACGTGTATGTTGAAAAATGTCCATACCCAACTGTAAAATAGTTTGATTTTTTTTTTTAATCTTTTGGAAAAATGCATTATCCTGTTTGTCTAACATTGCTAATGTCATTTGTTTTTCTTTTTTATTATTTTAAGACATTTTCATCAGTTTCATTCTTTGAACTCCTTGAGACGTTTATATAAAAATTACTAGTGAGTTAATCTTTGTCTTATTTTTTTGATTTTTATTCCTCCAAAAAATAGTTGAACATCCATAGCTGTACTTCGTTTTGCCACCTTTCTCTTCCTAAAAGCTCTCTTACTTTATTCTGGCTGTAAAAGTATCATGTAATCCATCCACAATATTAACATTGCAGTGCTCATATTGGTACATCTGATAGTTCCTTAACCCAAAAGAAGTAGTTTGCATTAGTAGGATTTTTGTGAATGCTCGTGGAAAGCATGATTTTAGATATTTCCTCTTTCTTTCCTTGTAACCCATTAGAACAGAAACAGATCCTAAAACTGTTCCAGAAGTGTATTTGTCACAGCTGAAGTTGATCACTGTTGTTTCTAATTACTACGTGTTCACATTTTAGTGATATTCCACGGATTCCTGAGACTTCTCACCCCCCATTAGAGTCTAGTGAGTACACTCCTTGTTCTGTCTTCTAAGCATGATAATGTACCTAGCACAATTGTTTCAGCTGTAAATTTTCTTGAATTTTTTGAAATTCTATGAATTTATATGAAAGATGATCACTGGAAATCACATTGGTGCTGAGATTTTTGTGTGACAAAATTCGGTGGGTTTTGGTCTTGTGTGTTAAATGTGAAGCAATACAGATTTTAATAAAGCTATACAGATTTCAAATGTTAGCATAATTTCCTTATTTTCTTCTATACATTTTGTTGTTAGTACCCTACTTGTATATATGCTATGGCCCAAACCAGTCATTTACTTGCCCTAACAAAAGAGAGAAAACAGGTATAAGAGGTACCAAAAGTACAAAGTGCTGTTGGGATTTCACCTCCTGCACCATTCAGCATAAGCCCAGTGTTCTTGCTTCTCTTTTTCTTGACAGTGTTCTTAGATAAGTGTTGATTAGGTGAATTTTTTGTGTGTCATACTTCAAAAGAAGAGTGTTCTTTTCAGCTCTGCCATTTGAACGTAGTTAGCTTGAGTATGTGAGGGCCATGGCTCCCACTCCTTTGTCATCTGAGCCTTTTCTGAGATGCAACCAGAAATGCTCCCTGGGACAGGGCCTCGTGCACTCAACGAGTGCTGTTAAACCTGTCATGAGCTCATATCATTACTGAGGGCTCTGTTTCGCTGGTGGAAAATTGATAATGTTCAGCACTTGCTGGAACACCCTGCATGCCAGATGCATGTGCTGCACAGCTTCCTATTAAAATTTCAGAGGCTACCAGAAAAATAAACCATAAAACAGATATGGTTTATTCATCAAAGATTTGAGATCATACAATCAGAATAGTTTGGGTGGGAAGGAAGATGTATATTTCTATCAGAGAACAATATTTTATTTACAACACTTGCTATGGTTTGTCAATGATATATGAGGAGCACTTTTTTATATGTTACTTCAAATAACACAAAAAAGGACAGGTTTAATCTGGGGTAAGGGTAAGCAGGCAGTCTTTTCACCATGCTGTCTACATCAGTTTAAAATCTTTCTGCCTATTAATCCAGTTATAGTGTGTATAAGTACAAACTTTATACAATTCAAAGAAAAAGCAATTCATAAGTTATCCAAATTTCCTTCAAAATTTGGAATGGTAACTTCATTTCTTTCTCACTTGGTTTTAGGTTCAAGTTCTTTTGAATCTCAGAAGATGGAAAGGCCTTCTATTTCTGTTATATCTCCGACCAGCCCTGGAGCCCTACGGGATGCACCACAAGTCCTACCAGGCCAGCTTTCTGTGAGCATATTTTGTTTCTTGAGTTGTTAATTGAAATTTATGAAGTGCTGGTCCTCAGCCCTGCACATTCCCAAGGTCTGTTGGGAGATCAAGAGAAATGTCTGTTGCTGCTAAAGACTAACATCTTTCAAATGTTTTTTAACACCTTCTCTATGCACTCACAAGCCAGTACTGTAATCATAGTGGAAGTAAGGAGTTGTCTTAATACCTAAAGAGCACAGGAATTTACCTTGAAAGGAGCCCATAAAAGTGTCTTGGAACTTGGCATCTTGGGGCCCCTGCGCTGAAAATGGTGACTTTTCTGTACCTGCCCAGTAATCTGCAGATAACAAGCCTAAGTATCACTTTATCCTCTTTAAGGGGGCATTTAAAGAGCTGTGTATTTGCTAAGCATTTGTTAAGCGTTGTTAATGCATTCAGTAGTGCATTTTAATTTAGATACACAGTACATCCTGGAACTGTCTGTAATACTAATTGAAGTTCTTCTTATTAAATATACTGTAAGTACTTAGACTTTGTTTTGTACATTCTTACATTTTTATATTGATCATATTAATTTCTAAGTATACAGCAGGCTCAAAAATTTCATAATATTATGATTCTCTTAAGAAATTATTTAGCTTTATATTATATTTTTCATAAGAACATTTGAAAGGGTTACAAATTTGAGTACATAGATTTCAACTATGTCTTGAGTTTAGCTGCATTCAGGGCTTACTGTTTAATGTAGTTTTAAGCTTCAGAGCTAAGACATATGATGGTTTAAATGCACTCACAGATACAAGATTATGCAGTGAGTATAGTAAATAACATAAGTATAATCAGGCACCACCATTTTATTCAGATGTGGTAAATAAAAAAGTCAGGTATACACCATCATCTTTTTCATCAAAGTTAAATATTAAGGGATTTGAAATAAAAACATCTTATTGTCTCTTAGAAAAAAGCAATGGTTACTTTGACATTGTGGTTATTGTGATGCATTCTGAAAATTCTGTTTTTTCTTCATTTTCAGTAATGTTAACTTGATTCTTCTAGGTTAAACTCTGGTATGACAAAGTGGGACATCAGTTAATAGTAAACGTTCTGCAAGCAACAGATTTGCCACCAAGAGTAGATGGACGCCCCAGAAATCCCTATGTAAAAATGTATTTTCTTCCAGACAGAAGGTAGTAGAATTTCAGTTTAGAAAATTATGTTGTAATTTACCATGTATTGAATTAACTTTTAATGAATGATTATGAAGTAAAGAACTCATTTTTACAACTTTTTACAGCTAGATAATTTATAACAAAAAACTGCGCTTCAATCATGCAAGTCAGTATCAAGTTAACTTTGTGGACTTTTGTATGAATGCAGTTCACTGTACAGCAAATGCTTTTTTCATGTAGGCATTATCAGATCAGAAAGAATGAAAACAGTTGAGTGCTAATGAGTAGATGGCATTTTGCAATTTATCTCTACAGACAATTTACAATCACTATTTATGTTTCAGTGATAAGAGTAAAAGAAGGACCAAAACAGTAAAGAAAAGTCTAGAGCCAAAATGGAACCAAACTTTTCTCTACTCACACGTACATCGTAGAGATTTTAGAGAACGAATGCTTGAAATAACTGTATGGGACCAGCCAAGAGTACAAGAAGAAGAGAGTGAATTTCTTGGAGAGGTGATACATACAGTCATATTTCTTTTGAGTTCATTGAATACATATGTATATGTATATTTTATATGTTTCTGTGTGTGCCTTCAAAAAGTAAAATTAAAACCTGATGATTTTTATACTAGATTCTTATAGAGCTGGAGACAGCACTTTTAGATGATGAACCACATTGGTATAAGCTACAGACACATGATGAATCTTCACTACCTCTGCCTCAGCCATCACCTTTCATGCCAAGAAGACATGTTCATGGTGGAGAAAGCACTAGCAAAAAATTACAAAGTAGGTCCAAATTCCATTAAACTCTTTTAAATTTTAAATGCTATATACGGTATAAGGGTATTTAAACTCCTTATACAAGATAAAAATACTATTTCATAGTCTTAAAAATAATGAAAATGTGTGGCAGAAAGGAGATGTAAATTACGACATTATGACATGCCAGCCTTATGCTTGTGATGTATAGCTTTCAAGTAGGTGAAAACTGCTGCAATTGATTGGTCTTCTATGGCAGAAGAAAATTGTTCAGAGTTTTTTTTGCATAAATTTCCTTTTAAATAGAAAGGTCATAATTATTGGATACTTTTTTTAATAAATAAAAGCATTTTATTTTAAAACAAGGAAGCCTTTAAAGACTTACAAGGCTTAAAAACACTATGCATAAAGTTAGTCTCAACCTCCGGTATGGTCATTATACAATCAGACAAGATAGGTATTGTGGCAGCAAAGAGAAATTGTATGCATGTGTTTGGGAAGTACAGTTGTTTTCATGAGTCTGATTTCAGGTTTGTATGAGACACGTTAAAAGAAGGAATGTATTGAAATATTTGAATACTGTAGCTTCTCTGTTAATTTAAATTAATTTAAGATTTATTTAGGTATATGAAGGGTGTAGGGCATTATTTTAAAATACATTTCCAAGCTATTTTCTGATCTTTTTGAAACATGGAAGTCATTCACTCCAGCCAATGTGTAGAAAATTGGTGAACACTCAGGAATAAATTATAAATATGTCATACTGCTGTAATTGCTGCATACATGCCCAAACAGAGGATATGTATAGACAGAGCAAATTAAAGGTTAGTTTTCATGAGATATTTGAGCTTTTCTAAAAGCTGGCAGTGCTGTTTCCGCTTCCCCTCTCTCACCATATGCTGCCTCATCTCCCTTCCTGTTCAGCAAGCTGATTCAGCTTATTCACAGAAATAGCACAAAAGAGATTTTTTTCCTTTATTTGAGTTTCACTTTCTGCAGGCTTAGTGAAATAAACTATTCTAGTAGAGGATTACTGAGGAATTGAGAGAAAGAGAAAGGGAAAGGAGGCTGCAGCAGCTGTAAGATGTTAAACTGGCACAGCTGTCTTGTGAAATGTCAATTAGTCATTGCAGTTTAGTTCTCTATTGTTTTCACTTAAAATCATCTTTTTAGTTTCAGTAGTATGTTAAATGAACATATTCTTACATTTTATAACACAACCAGATGTTCAGGTATTTGTTTACCTTACTGTTGTGCAGGATCTCGGCCAATCAGTGATAGTGACATCTCAGATTATGATGTTGATGATGGTATTGGAGTTGTTCCTCCAGGTGCGTGGGTGAAGAGCATGGTCCTGCTTTCTTCTTCTACTTCTTCTTTTTTGCTTGTTTGTTTTTGTTTCTTTACAACATTTTGGAATATTGAGGATGCTGGTTTCGGAGAGTACATTGTGAAAAGAAACAGTTTTCCTGATTATTCCATGGTACTTGTACTAAATTGTGGAGAATTAAAAGATTCTACTATTCATTCATTTATATTTCTTTTACATATCATGCTTTTTATGTGAACCACTGGTTCATTCAAATTTTTTAATTGTTTACTGCATAATGCTCCAAGCATTATTTAAAATATAAATTTTAAAAATCGACGCATTTTAAAATAGTAATTAATATTTCAGTGTTTATTGAAAGTGTATTTTGTTATTTTGCTTTTTGCTTGAAATTTAGATATAATGCAGTCTCCCATGGACTTTATTGATAATGCATGGCTGTAGATTAAGATGCATGTAGCATGGCTATATCTTTTATAGTTTTCGTAAGCCTTCATGAACTATCATTACCCTAAATGTTCATAAATATATACTTTTAGAGATTGTCATGGTTTGACTTTTAATTCAGCATTCCTTAACATACTGAAAATCTTGAGGATTATCTTGGATACAACATTTTTCTAGTTCTATTTGACTGTTGCCACATGCCAGATAAATACGTTTCCCAATTGTCCCAAGCTAATTGAAGAGACACTATGTCATTGTTAGCACTAAATCAGTTTCTGTGGATCTTCCTGATGAAAATCACTGAATTGAATCGTGGTGAGATTTGGAAAACTCTCTGTCTGTGTTTAAAATAATCTCACAATTTATTTATCCACTATATAAACAGACAAATAAATCACATATTTTTTTAATGCAGTATCATTTTGATGTTTACTGAGCCAAATTCTCCTTCCTTTGATGCTGATTGGGTTCTTTCATTAATTTAATACACTTAGCACCTGAGTTGCTAAGAGAGAAATTTGCTCATGTATGTCTAGTTATGATATTTGCTTTGATATTTTTGCATCAGCAGAGAGAGTGAACATTTAAAACGAAAATAAATGATAGGTTCTAAATATTTTTGCTGTCTATTACTTCTTTTCTTTTTTTTTTTTCTGTAGTTGACAATGTAGTCTATCTATGGCATATCTTTGTAGACTTACTTATATTTAAGATTTTAGTGTATTAAAAACAGGCATTTTTTCAACTGCTGGTCCTTCAGTAGATCCATTTGAAAGGAATAATTTTCCATTTGACAGAACACATTCAAAATGGTTCAACTGAATATACTGGACTTTGTTCACTGGGTCAACATTTGAGTAACTGATTCTTACTGAAATTTCTTGGGACTTCATGCTCAGGTGTGCATTTGAAGAATGCACGTCTTCAAGCTTTCTCAGAGATCATTGCAGAAAAGAGCAGGATTTAATCTTTAGAATTGGATTTACAATGAGCTGAGAGTCTCCAAACTGAAAACCAAAGGGTCTAGTGAGGAAACTCCTTCTGAAGTCCACCTAATTTGAAACATTCTATTAGTTGACCTGACTAAGCACAAATTTGTCCATTTTGAGTTTAATGGATACATTTGTTCAGCAATTGTAAGTGGAGTTCATGTGTTTGTGATTCCTATGTAAAGTGGATATGCATATAAGTGTGGGAGTTTTGTTTGCCAGTGCACCTTGAGTTCTTAAAAGGGTGTTAAATTTCAGGCACACAGGGCCAAAGAAAATTTGAGTCATCAGCCACAAATATACAACAGCCAAGATGGCATATATAAATGTATTTTGCAGTAAGACCTAGAAAAGGTTGCTAGTCCCACTGTCTGTTGAATTGCTTGAAAATCTTAGGTGCAGATTTGCAAAGTTGACTGGAGATCAAGTTTATATATGCATTTCTACCCTCCTGTCCAACCTTCCTTATTTATCACACTGTTAAATCATCTAAGGCTTTGGACTGCTACCTTCATTTGCACTGAATGAGTAATACAGTATCTTCTCCATTTAATAGTTTCCTCTGTTAAAACTAAGTTCCATGCAAGTTCCTTGTCATGTTGCAGGGCCTTTACCCCTGCTTTTCTACTGTCCTTCAGAACCATGGTCCTCACCAGACTATACCCCAGCTCTTCTCTGGTTCAGATTTCCCATGCATCCTCTTGCAAGGTATGAATGCAGGAAGGAAGAGTGAGTATCCACATTGTAGTATGGTGACACACCATTTTGGCATAGCCTCTGTTGGCCTCAACTAGATTAGTGTAGGATTAAGATGTTCCTTCTCAACAGAAGTACGGATATCAAATTTGAGTTTACAAAATGTGACACAAAAGAAAATATTTCCCTTTAAATATTTCCCTTTTCCTTCCTTTACCACTTTTTTTGTCAGTGTTACCCACCAATATGCTTATATATGATAAATAAGCTCTGTCATTATTAAAGGTATATGCATAGAATTGTTGAAACATTAAGGTTGGAAAAGGACTTTAAGATCATGTAGTCCAACTGTTAAACCAGCACCGCTGTGTTCACCACTAAACCATGTCCTCAGTGACACATCCACATGCTTTTTGAACAGTTCCAGGGATGATGATCCACCACTTCCCTGGGAAGCCTGTTCTAGTGCTCAGCAACCTTTTCAGGGAAAAAAATTTTCCTAATATCTAGTCTAAGCCTACCCTAGCACAAATTGAGTCCATTTCCTCTTATTCTGTCACTTGTTACCTGTGAGAAGAGGCCAGTCCCCACCTCAACACAACCTCCTTTCTGGTAGTTGTAGAGAGCAGTAAGGCCACCCTGAGCCTCATTTTCTCCAGGCTAAACATTCCCAGCTCCCTCAGCTGCTCCTCATAGGACTTACTCTCTAGACCCTTCAGCTTCGTTACCCTTTTCTGGACACACTCCAGCACCTCATTATCTTGTAGTGAGGGGCTCAAAACTGAAGAGAGGATTTGAGGTGCTGCCTCGCCAGTGCTGAGTGCAGGTGGACACTCACTGCCCTGGTCCCGCTGGCCACACTATTTCTGATACAGGCTGGGATGCCATTGGCCTTCTTGGCTGCCTGTGCACTCTGCTGGCTCATGTTAAACTGGCTGTCGACCAGACCCCCAGGTCCTTTTCTGCTGAGCTGCTTTGCAGCCACTTTGCCCCACGCCTGTAGTGCTGCATGGGGCTGTTGTGACCCAGGTACACTTGGCCTTGTGTAACCTCATACTGTTGGCCTTGGTCCGTGGATCCAGCCTGTCCTCTGCAGAGCCTTCCTGCCCTCCAGGAATCAACACTCACCCAGCCTGGTGTTATCTGCAAACTGACTGAGGGTGTACTCGATCCCCTTGTCCAGATCATTAATAAAGACATAAAACTGGGCTGGCCCCAACACTAGGCCTTGGGGAACCCCACTAGTGGCCGTCCACCAGCTGGATATAACTCCATTCGCCACCATTCTCTAAGCCCTGCCTGCCAGCCAGTTTTTTGCCCAATGAACAGCGCATTCGTCCAAGCCATGAGCTGCCAGAGTCTGTGGGAGAATCCTGTGGGAAACAGTGTCAAACACTTTACTAAAGTCTAGGTAAACTACATCCACAGCCTTGTCCTCATCCACTAAGAGGGTGACCTTGTCAAAAAGGTGATCAGGTTAGTCAGGCAGAATCTGCCTTAAAGTTGTTAATTTATACATTTTCCTGAAATATTGAGAAAAGAAGGAAGTTATTTTGCCCCTTAATTTCTCAAGATTTTCACAAAGGTTATTTCTCATTTTCTAAAAAACTAACACATAACTACAAAATTTCACTTCATCTCCAGGAAAACTAAAGAAATGAATGATAAAAATATTTTGGCTAGTTTAACTAACATTGGAAATTCCTGAAACAATAGTTTCAAGTGTTTTATGAATTGCTAAAGTAAATGCAGTATTAGAATTTAGTAATAACAAAAAAAACTATTTTTCTGGAGGTTTCAGCAGCTGCAAAGAATCATTGCTTGTAAATGGAAGTAAAGACTGCTATGTCAAAAATAGTGGCACTTTGATAACTTCCAGAATATTTGAAGAAAAGTATTTTTCCTTTGTCTTATCAAAAATACATCTTATCTTTCATGTAATTGTACCATCCTCATTTATTATTAGTATCTTGCAGTGATATATGTATCATTTTTTAATCAGCTCATAGAACTGTTCATAAAAGGAGTTTATATCAATAGCTGAAAGTAACTTTAATTTGAAGTTCTGCTTTAAAAAAAGTGATTTTGACAGGTTTTTCTGGTATGCCAACCCCTACCGACATGAAGAAAATATTATTTTAAATCTCTCAACCTCTTCTTATATGAGAGACGCTCAAGTTTCTGAAGGATCTTCGTGATCCTGAGCTGGTCTTACACCAGTCACTCTGCGCCTGTATTGCCTTGGGAAGCCCAATACTCCAGAAGGATCAATAAAAGATTTAATAAAACCCAAACCTGTTTCGAGGCCCATCTGTTTAACCAAAACTTTAGTAGCTTTCTTAATTAAAATGAAAAAAATCTGATCTCCAGCTGGCAGTATCCCAAGAAGTATTTCTAGTAAGGTATCTTGCTTATATTATGGATAACTCTTCAGAATAGTTTATTTTTCTATCATATAATCCCTGTATAAACAGTTGGATTATATTTACCTGCCTCCTGTAGCAGCAGGGTGATATTAACACAATACCTTGTTGTTGTTTGTATTATCTGTAAGAAAATTAAAATAATTCTGGTATCAAACATATGCTAGAACCATTTTCATCATCCATCATGTATTCATTTCCTATCACACCTGACAGTTTCCCATGAGCAACTGAGAAACTTCTTCTGCATAAACTACCATAAGCTTGATTGCTGCTGTCATGCTGGTCCATGCAAAAATTTTCTCTGCTCACCCTGAAGAGCACAGAGCTTTTATATGAGGAGATGTTACTGTTGCTGTCACTGTCATGGTCACTGTGAAAGTATGGATGTGATTTGACCAACCTGGCAATGCTTGAGCTAATACTTAGGATAAGTATGAATCACTGTTGCTCTGTCTGTTCTGTAAGCTTTGTGTACACACACTGCATAAGTTTAGGGTATTGTTCCCTAGATAGTTTGGCTACAAAGAGTGTATAGCATAAAATCATCTTGCTATACCAGATTTTTAAGTGGACAGGATAATCCTAGGTGTAATTTTTTAGGAAGACTAGAAATACTCTAAAAATACTCTATGTGTTAAATTGAAATCTGTATGTATTTTTTATATTTAAATTAAATTTCAGTACAATCTCCTAAAGCTTGGAAAGAAATTTTGGATTTCTTTGAATTTAGTGTTGAACTACTTTTCCTTCTGATAGAGATGACAGGATTTTCTCTAACATTAGGTTTTTTTGAAAATGAAATATCTTTTAGCACATACAACACACATTTAGTCATCCTGGGAAAGAGAACATATCCAACTTTTGTCACGTATAGTCATTTTTCCTCTGACAGAAAACCCTGACATTTTTTGCAGCGATCTTAGTACATGAGATGAGGGAATCTCCGTTGAAGTCCTGATAGAGTCACTTTTTTGCTTCAATATTTGCACCCAAACCTTGTCCTGAAATCAGGGAGATCCTCATGTTTCTTTATAATTTCATTAGAGAACTCTGAAATGCATCAAAAGCCGTGAAACATTGGCATCCTTCTTTGTTAAAAGATTGATAAACCTCAGTAGATACTTCCATGCTTTTACAGGCCATTAGAATACATTGGTAAACTGTTACACATTTGAGGAAAAAAGTGTGACTACCTCTTTGATGTTTATGATCAAGGTTCAGACTTGCAGGTAAACAGCAATTAAATGTCATTGAATACATGATCGAGTCTAATACAGACTCTGTATATGGGCCACACTTTTAAAAGAGGGCTTTAATATTTTGATAGAATATCAGAGAAGAACTACAAGAATTATACAACTTACATGAAAAATTATAAACCCCTCAAACTTTAAACTCTGTAACAAGATCCATAAAAATTACAACTTATTTAATTTATCCAGTTGTCAGTTGAGTGATGAATTCATAGTCTTTTCCTGCATGAAAGGATGATTTCTCATATAAGCTGGTTTTTTAGCTGAGCAAAATAACACATTACAGGAACTTTAGTGCTAAACAAATTCAGAGAAGGAGCAAAATGATTATTTTGGAATCTAAGCAAGAATTTCTGAAGTGATTAAGGGATGACTTAAGGGACAAATTTTTCTATCATTAAGGGATTTTCTGTCAAGGGATTCTTGTAATCTAATTTAAATGTCTTGAAGTGAGCAAGGGAAGTCTGAGCAGATCTCCTTAGGCTCTTTTGGAAAGATAAGAGTTACCTTTTAAAAGCTGTCGTCTGACTGAACTTCATGGTCTGTTTTAGGATGGAATTCATAGTGTACAGCAAGGCATGCTACATGGAAAAAGGCACAGCAATATAAATTATTTAAAATGTACTAACCTTTTGCTGATTTTTTTAAAAAATTCGTGTTGTGGTTTAAACCCACCTGGAAATTAAACACTACAAAGACACTCGTTCAACCCCTCCTCTCTTCCCCCGTACTCCGTTGGAATGGGGAGGAGAATCAAACTAAAACTTTTATGCTGAGATAAGAACAGTTTAATAATTGAAAATAAAGTAAAACACAGTAATAATGGTAAATTATAATAATAATGAAAATAAAAAGGGAGAAACAAGTGATGTGAAATGCATTTGCTCACTACTCACTGACCAGTGCCAGACCCCACTTCCCAAACCCGACTCCCTTTCCAGGTAACTCTCCTCAGTTCATATACTGGCCATGACATTCTGTGGTGTGAAATATCCCTTTGGTCAGTTCAGGTCAGCTGTTCCAGCTATGCTACCTCCCAGTTTCTTTTGAGTGCTTCCTCACTGGTGGAGTATGAGACAAGAAAATAAGTCCTTGACTTAGGAAAGACACGACTTAAGAAAAAACCAAAACATCAGTGTGTTACCAACACCATTCTCATTCCAAATGCAAAACACAGCACTGGAACAGCTACTGAGAAGAAACCACCACAGTTGATATCAGGACAATCCTATATAAAAATGAACTACGAGAAATTTTGCCGCTTATTCATAATATTTGGAAAAAATATTTGCAAAGTATGCAACATCCAATATTCTGTACAATATACTCTAAATGCTAGTATTTTTTTTAGACGGGTGGCTTTGGCCAAGTTCAGTAGGAGAACATCTTTGTATTTAACTGAAATAAGAGGCAGAAAGATGAGATATATGTATATATATATATATATATATATAATATATGAGTAGTCCTGTATGAGTCTGTGCTGTCATATGCAAGTGTGCTTTTTCCATTTTTTGGATGAGGCAAACCTATATCGTTTAGATTCCTTTCAAATATTTGCTATATATAAACTAGCTATATATATAAACTGTATGACACTTTTGAACTACAAGGTACCTAGGGTAGTCTTCCCCAAGTCAGAAAACTATTTCAATTCCCTCCTCCACATCTTCCAGTACATAATAAAAATATCTCAGTTTTTCAGTCTCTGTACATGTAGACATTTAAAGGTAATGCTAGTAGTTTATCCTGCATGATACATCGGGATGAACAATAGCTGAATGATGACTTGAAAGTTGTGTAAGCATTTAGATAATGTGCTCCTGGAAGACTATATGAATTCTTTCCAAACCCAGACCTTTATTGCCTAATTTCCTTTTGTTATCCTCTTGCCAGTAGGTTATAGATCTAGTACTAGAGAAAGTAAATCCACAACGCTAACTGTGCCAGAGCAGCAAAGAACAACACATCATCGTTCACGTTCTGTGTCTCCTCACCGTGGCGACGATCAGGGCAGGCCCCGTTCACGTTTACCAAATGTGCCATTACAGAGGTAGGCATCACAAGTTAATAAAATACTAGATGGTTGGAAACTTGTATGATCTGTCATTATTAAATTTTGTCTTGTTCAGCAATTTTTCACTGTTTTAAAGCTTATTTTGTATCTGAATTAAATAGTGCACTATTTGAACTTGATATATGTTTTTATTAATTATTCAAGGGCACTCATGGGGTGAATCATAACTTTGTAAGACTTACCTCTTCTTACTGATATTTACTCGGTGATTTGTCACCTCTGTACCATAACTAATACATAGGTTTGGAAATTTCTTTTCAGTGAGTGGCTGAATCTTGTATGAAGCTGCTTAAATATATTTGTAGGATAATAAATAATGGTGTGTACAAATGGTATAATTTTTAATAGCATTCTTTTAGAAATCATGTGTTAACAATTTGATGATTAAAACCTTTCTTCAATCAACCTGTACTGCAATCCATTAAGCTGTGTTATTCATGCAAAAAAAAGATGATCTTACGTATTTCTGCCTTTCAGGAGTTTAGATGAAATTCATCAAATGAGAAGATCACGTTCTCCAACTAGACACCATGATGCCTCCAGAACTCCAGTTGATTACAGATCTAGAGAGTTGGATAGTCAATATTTGTCGGATCAAGAAAGGTACACTGTCAGCCTGAACTTGGAAAAAATTTTACAAATGTCTTTGTTGGTTTTCCTAATTGTCAGGTTTTCATTAGAAACATGACTGATAGCAATGGGGATGGGAGAGAATTCATCCTAACTGATAGATCTAGTGCTGTGGTTAAACTATCTATACCTTTTTTTTTTGTAAAGTCGCGCACTGGGTTGACAATAATAGCACGTATCTAGAATAATGATCCTTGGGTGTTTGTCCTAGTATTCTGCTGCTTTTTCATGAATGAAGCCTAGAGATTTTTGCTAGAAAGCCATAAATCTACATGTGTGCTCTAGCTATTCTTGTAATATATCAGACTTTAGCAGTTTTGGTAGCCAGCAAAATACCAGGCATGCATTCTTACTAGTTGGGAGCTGCATGTGCTCTGATTTGCATCCATATGCTTATAGATTTTGGACACCTACATATGCAGTCTCACAACATTTGATGTAACATTCTGGTGAACTTTGTACAGTACCCAAGCATAGCAAGGATAGTTGCAGTGCTGGGTGTAATTTGCAAAAATTTCTAGTCTAAAATGCGTGAGACATAAAGATCTCTTCCTGGAAAACATTGAGTGGCTACACTCCTCAGAGAATACTTGGTCTCTCATAGTAGGCACTATTTTCTGATATCTAGGAATAATATTCTGATAAAATGGAAGAAATGAGAATTTCTGTTTAGTTTATAGCTGAAAAAAAGTTTAAAAACGTATTTCAGCTCAGTATCTGTGAAACAATAGATTATCAATGGTTAAGGGTTCTTGTTTACTTTTAAAAAATTCATTTAGCTAGACTATAATGGCAAATTTTACCATTCTTATAAGATCAATTATCCTAGTACAATGTTTGATTTTTTTTCTTGGCAGTTAGCAACTACTTTTTATAACTGATGACAAAACCTTTCCAAATGATCCAGTAAAGTCAATACAGAACATAGTGATGTGAAAACGTGTAAACAGTAAATCATAAAAATCTCTGGAAATCTTTGTCCAGTTTTCAAGTAACATAGAGATCGAATAACAGGTGGCTTTTGCATCTAAACTAGTTCAGTTTTCTATGTGATCTTGCCTGCTTTCCTTTTGTAGTATGGTAACATATGTATAGGAATTCATTTGTTATTTGGAACATTTAAAAATTCAACTTTATAGGCACAGAATTGATTAAATTGGATTATTATACTGAATTTCCTTTCAGAGGTGAATTTAAATGCTTTTTAAATATGGTAGTCAGATTTCTTGTCAGACTAATTCAAGTAATGTCCACTTGTCACAAATGTTTTCTCTTATTATTTAGGTAGTCATATAGTCAAGAGATTCCTGATGATATTTAATGAATAGATTTCTTATTCAGCAGATTAGGGGAGGAAGAGGCTTTAAAACGTAACTGTTGTCGGTATAAATATAGACAGTTAACTGTTTAGAATTTTTTCTTTCAGTAAAGCCTCAAACCGTGACTTAACTGGTGGTATATGCATGAATTATGATTGGAGAGGAGCAGGCCTTACACTGAAGCTTTCTTGGGGATGAGCCATCAAACCAGAGCTACAGCAGCAATGGGCTGCTGGATTTGTTCAGAGAAGTGAGACAGTCTTCAGTTCTTTTCAGTGTTTAGAAAACTTTTTTCAGAAGTTTAAAGATCAGGCATAAGGATGTACGTGGCTTATTTGCAAGATTTAAAGATGGGTCCATGTACTTGCTCTCCTTGAATAATAATCTTGTCTGCAATGGTCTCCTCTTTGCCATTTTCCTTTTCGTCTTTTCCCCATATTTCTTCAGTTGTGGAGGCTGTTTAACTCTTGCAGGTTTGACTGGCTTTCAGTACATAAGAGTAGCATCATAGGAAAGATCAAAACCAGATAGTTGATGAAGATTCTCTGTCACATCCAAGAATTTTAAAAAAAATCTTAGTTAAGTATTATATATTAGTATCCAGGGTAGTATAAGTATTATATGTTGTACATCTACTGAACTCTTCATCTAAACAAGTACATTCATGTAGATGCCTACATAAATTTGGTTTCAAAGTTTAGTGATTACCCGGGAGTTACATGGCAGAAATTACAATTGTTGGCTAATTTTGATAATTTTCTCAGTGACCTCTTATTGATCCAAAATGAATATTGACTATTAATATCTTCTGTATTAATAGAGATATTTGTAAAAAACAGTTATTATCACTCTCTTGCAAATGCATCTCTTGTGATAAACTTCCAGTGAAACTGATTTGTCCACTTTAACTTTTTTATATGTGTTCGTATGCACATATACACACATATATGTGTATAGATATAAACCGTTAGGAAAAGCTTTTTATTAGGATATCTAGCTAGACACTTTGTTCAGAACTTAGGATCATTGTCCAATTTCCAAGAGCATGGTACTTTTTTTGTTTGTTTGTTTTAATGTTTCTTTTATTCTTAAGCAAAATCTATTAATGTGAGTACTAAAATCCTCACATTAGAAAACACTTGGTTTAGAATAATAATCTTTATTTTAAATGCCTCCCAAACCAACTTAATTTATTAGAGAACTGTGAGCATCTTCTCACATTATTGGTAATCTACTGTGATGGATTCTTTTGCTTTGTTTTTTTAATTAGAAGATTTCATGGTGGATTTGCTATTTTATATCACTTTTCTGAATGAATTTTATATTACTGTTTGCCGTGGGCCAATTACAATAGATATGCTTTTTTTCTTAACAAAGTACCGTATGATTTAATGTAGAGTTCGCATCTACTTTACAACTCTTAAGAAAAAAGTAGGGTTTTTTCCTAAAAGACATATTTGTTTGTAATTTGGGACCTGCTTATAAATTCTATCTGTCCTCTAAGCTTATGAACAGAAATTTTGCTTAAAAAGAAAATTAAAAAATTCAGTTTAACTTTAGTTCATTTTGTTGCATCAAAATGAGGCTAGTGGCTTCAGATGCAATTAAATCTCACACATGACTCACAAGCCATTATTTCAAGCTACCCAGTTTAGAATTTTAGACAAATATTGCCTGTACTGCATCAATGCAATGGAACATTTTATAATGGCATGAAGCATAAAACACATTGAACGACTACTGCTTTATCTGTTTTTTAATCTTTTCTCTCTTCTTTTTACCATAGTACTTCATAGGATACCCTGCTTCTTTTAAATTAGCATTTTTCCAGGAAGTTTACCTTTAATTTCATATTTATGATAATTAGGAGGTTTGGAGCTTGGTCTTTCTGATTGTGTTGAAGTGTATAAATCTGCAAGATTAATTCAACGGCTGTTTCATATCATAGTCATATTTACCACAGGCATAAGTATGTATTAATTTTACCATCTTGCTGGGTGTAGTATGTGTTTGGTTACAGTAAATGAAAAATAGAATAGACAGTTGATTTTCCACAATTTGAAACAATAAGAAACAAAAAGTTTCATGGATGATTAGCTTTTTTTTTGTTTCTTTTGGATTGCATTACAAAATCAAGAGTATAAGTCAGAATTTATGTTTGGCCAAACACATTATTTCCAGTGAACACATATGTTTGATTTTCCCAAAAGGGTGACTGGCTACTCTTCCCATAAACCCATCTGCAGTAAGTCATTATCAAACCTTCCCTGATTTTTCATGTATGATTTTGTGGCTTAGAAAACCACAAAACCCAACAGAAAACAAACAACAAGCGTCTTTCTTTTTTCCCTAAAGTATTCCTTCATGAATTAGTTCATGAGACAGGAGGTTATTAAAAAACTGTAACCTTATTATGTATTTATTACATCATGAAGAGCTCGGAAAAAGTAATTCTGAATTTTAAAGAGAAATCTCATAAAAGTAGGTGCCACACTAAAAGGAATTTGTTGAAAATGTAGTTATTACAGGCATTTTTTGGCTCATATTCTTTGAGAAGTGCAGTTGGAGTTTGAATGTTATCAGACTATCTATCTGGGTGGTTGCTTCTTGTTTCTTTTTATGTTTTCATTTGCATATCATTGGCATAACCCATGTCATCTAATGCTTCATAATTATATCTGTTTCACTCACCACCCATCCTGTCTGTGCAGTGAGCTTCTTATGCTGCCCAGAGCAAAACGAGGAAGAAGTGCTGAGTGCCTACATACCATCAGGTAAATACAGGAATTTGGTGATCATGAACACATCTGGTTAGTTGTCTATACTTTGTGTGCCCAAATTGTTTTCCATGGTGGTATTTAGTCCAGTAAATAAAAAACTTCCAAGTACCTTGTGATCCAGATGTCAATTGATCTTGTTTGTTTGTTTTAACTCAGATTGAGACATGTATATGTGCTTGTGAACCTCAGTAGTAAGGATTAAAGCAGTTGAAGAAATTTTGGTTTTGCAGTTATATTTTGTGGTGGATATTCAGTGTAGTCACAAAAGTCCTGAACTCCCAATGCATGACAGCATTGTTATTTCAAACATTCATTTTCAGTTGTTTTTATGTTTTCTTTTATTTGCATTTTTGTGTTTATATTACAGCCACACACAATTCAACAACCTTTACTTGTTGTGACACCTAATCTCATGCTGATTTAGTCACATGTAGAGGAAAAAACATTGATTTACAGGGCCTTACTGGGAATCCCAGCTTTGAGGAGTCTTGTATTACTTGGTTTTACATCTAAAAATTTTTCTATCAATTGGATCCAGATGTAAACTTTGTAGTTTGGGCTCATCTTCAGTCTTCATTAATGCCTTGATCCAAGTCTCAGAGCTCCATGTCTCATCGTTTCCCAAAATTGTGAAACTAAATGGGACTGAAATATCTTCATCTAAAAAACCAAATTCTGCTCCCCCACCATTTTTTTCACCATGTCTGATACACTTATTAAAAATTGCATAGAATATTTTCCATTTAGAATCAGTAAAAATGTAGGTTGAATTTAAAGTAGTTAACTCCTTCAACCAGGTAGTTATCCATTTGTCTGTTCAAGATCTGGGTGTTGCTAAAAGCTTTACATCAGTGTATATGTTTAAAATCATCAAACTTAAAACCATATTGTCTAGTGCCATTATTCATTTACTTAATGTAGGATTTTCACTTCCAAAGTAGTGCTTATTTTTTTTAATATGCCTTGGATTACTTTAATTTTTGTCACCAAATTTGAAACAGTATTGAAGATGTTCTGGTAGGATTCTGTTAGAAGGCACAGTAGTATAAAGCTAAAATAATAAATATGAACCTTTTCAGCGAGATCTGTTCATCAGTGAAGGTGTTAAATTAAAACTTAAGTGTTTATTATCAGTAGAAAGATCTTCATTCTTATATTTCAGCTAAAAAGGCTTTTTTAGGGTTTATTTTTAAAAATTTATTTTAAAATGTTATTTTATATATGTTTATTGTCATATAATAGCAGTTTTTCCTGCCTCCTTCCTGTGTCCTTTCTGATGATATTCTATAGCTTCACCCCCCTCCTGCCCCCAGCCCTGAGCTTTCTCCTTTCCCTCTTAAAGATTACAATTGCCATTAGAATTTTTCAGTCACAATTCTTAAATTCTCAATTAATTAATATTTTATTATGAACTTTTGATGCACTTTGATCAACCATTATAACTTTCCAATAGTTTTGCAAATCCACTAAACAATTCTGGTCAGTTAACCAGCTAAAAGTTGTGCATGGGCAGCAACAGAGTTAGGTACGAGTGACACTGAATTCAGAGAGTATAGCCTGTTCTTGCATTTCTCCTTATTCCATTTGTTGCTGGTTTTTTTAATGATCAAAAAAACTAACAAATTCACCCTTTTAAAGTAATAGGAATGGTATACTATAAAACAGAATGGTACTTATAATAATGTATTGAAGGTGAATATAAAGGCAATAGAAGACAATACATTGATTTTTTTTTTTTAAATTTTGACTGAATACTTTTAAAAACAGTTTCACCAAAAATTTGTTCTATGCCATCTTTTATCCTTGCTTATTTCTAGCAACCTGACATTTAATTCATGTCAGAAACATTATAAGGCTTTATCCTTGTTTCCTAGACAGCTTGCTGGATAATGTCTTGATTAGTAGTCAAGATATCTTCAGCATCAAAAAGGAAAGAAACGTTAATGGTTTCTTATTAAATGAAAGAAATTAGGTAGTCCAAGCTACACAGTTAAGAAATATGATGAGTTTAATACACCAGCTAGGAATAATACTAGTCCAAACTGTCCATCCTGTCCATCTGTTTGCAGTTATTGACTAACAGTAGAAATGGTGGAAAGGTCTGTACCTTTGCTATAGACCATTGATTGTCACGTTCCATGCCTCAAGTCACTCTTACTTTGATTGGTAGTATCTGCTCCTATGCCATAATTGACCTGATGGACAACCATTCCTTTGCTCCTCCTTCGCAACGCTACAGTCACCTCTGACAGAGACGTCACCAGTGGTGGCCACTAAACTCAGACAAGAAGGGTCAAAGCTCCACTATTAAATCCCTCAGGGTTTTACAAACACTAGGATTTCCAGGCAGAGAGTTGATTCATCTGTCTGTGACACAGCCAGGTTTGTAATGCTCATCTGCTGTGTCGAGGTTCAAGCCTTAACAGTAAAGAAAATGTCCTATTAGGACAGACTGTTCTTGATGCTGCAAAATCCTCAAGGCTGCTGGTTCTTCTCCTAATAGCTCTGCACCTGTGTCCTGGTAGGGAATGTAGAAAGTTGTTAGAATTTTCTTATTAACCCCTAACCATTAAATGGCCATAATTCCCATTCAGCAGCCATTGTCCACCTTTAAATTTCCACCTTGTTCATTGGGTATAGCTGGATGGTACAGTAAAACATTTCCTGTTCTAAAATCTATGATTATCTTAGACATCTTGTCATGTAACACCTCAGTGCTGCTGTGCTGGCTGATGTAGTAGATCTCCTAAGGTTTTTTTTTTTAGTTTATTATTAATAACATTTAATTACTGTTAAATTTTGAAATTAAACTTTCAAAAGACTTCCACATTCAAAAAGCCAGATGCTAATACATCTCTAGTTAAATTTGTAATATTGTATATCCCTGTGTTAGCAAGATTTGCATGTTTAGATACTGGAGAGGTTAAAGTCTGTAGGTCTAAGTAAGGCATCTCTTAGAGAAATAAAGAGCAAATTTAATATCAGCTTAATCCTTCACAATAGCCTGTATATTTTAATTTAAAGTATCTATAAATGGAATTTAGATTACCTTCATTTCAAGAAAACATCTCATCTGTACTAGTATTACCATGAGTTCATCCACTGTATTAAGAAAAGTGTAGATACAAAAATTTGTGCCCGGTTAGCTGTCACAGTAGTTGAGAAAAACAGATACTGAGAAATCTACTCATACAACTATAAATACAGAATATTATATAATACAGAATATTATGCATTTATTTTACATTCTGGTCAGTCTTGGCTTGCCTTTATCTGTCTTTTTATTTCTGGCATATTGTTTTTTGTTCTGTTTTCTTTTCTGTCCCACCACATTCAAGAAGTTCTGTTAGGCACTATAAAACATTACCACCCAAGATGCCTTTACTAGAAAATGGTACTCATTGGAACCTGTACAGGTAAGAAGTGTTTAGAGTCCCCTTTAAACTCCTATAGAGTTCAAAGCTCCTTTTATAAAAAATGAAGAGACTTATTAAATAATAAAAAACCCCAAACATAAAATGTTTCATACATTTTTATAACTGAAACATAAGGGATCAAATCCTAAAATGACATCATATAATTGTTTAAATTAATGCCTACATTACAAAAAATCCAAACCAAGCTACTTTGTATTAGATGAAGTTGTCTTCACTGTTAAAATTTTATGTTGCATGGTTTTCTTTCCTACATTCTTTTGTTTATGTATGAAATTTCTGTTACATGTCCAATTTACTTTCATTTTGTTTAAATAATTTTAATTTACAAAGCTCAACTCTTCCTGCATGTGCTAAGACCAAATCCGTGATTAGACAGGATATTTCACTCCTTCATGATTGCCTTAATTCACGAATATCGAAAGTTGGAGATGATCTGCCGGTTAGGTAAGAAACTGAGGATTAATCCCCCCCCTTGTTTGGTATCTAATATGGATTTGCAGAATAAATAAGCTTCACTCTAAAGGGATTTCACATGACATATAGTGTATCACATTCTTTTATGTTGGCTTAATATTTACTGCTGTTAATAAAGATTTAAATTTATTGTTTGGTATTTCTCATTCCACTTTTCTTACAAGTGGATGCTGTTCTGTCTTATTCAGTTTTAAACATTTCAACAATCTTTGCGAAAAATTTCTAGCAGTCTTTTGTTTGCTTTTGTTTTCTAAACAAATCTTGACACTATCATCCAGTCAGCTTTTTTATGTTTTCCTTAATTAAATCATTGTGATCCTACATTTTCTGTAAAGAGAGCATTATTTTATGAGTTAATATCTAACATTGTATTCCTTTCTTTGTTTTCTTTTTCTTTCTCTTCTACCATTGGATGCAATGCACTGGCACTAGTGAACTGCAGCCCTCCCTTGACAGGGCTAGGAGTGCTAGTACCAACTGCTTGAGACCAGATACTAGTTTGCATTCACCAGAACGAGAAAGGTATAAAATAAAAACTTATGGATTTCTTGTCATCTGTGCTGGTGATCTTTATCAGTTTTGTTTTTCTTCATATGAGTACTCTACATTCTCGTACATTCTTGTCTGCTTTGGTATTTGTATACATTTTTACTCCTATATTCATGTATGTCATGTAAATTGTGTGTTGGAGTTTATAACTGCTTCTGGCTACTTTCCTTGTTTTGGTTCAAGCTGATGTTCATTGTTTACAAAAGTCCTCAGTATGCTGATAATAGCATTGCAGTGTTAAGTATTTTGAAACTTATCACCTGGTTGTGAATCTTCATCATCATTTGCTAAAAAGTTTTATATTTGTTTCTTGATTGTTCTGTGGACTGCTAATAAAGCAGTGGCATAAATTATAAATGATTATAAAACTCTCATATTTCAAACCAGAGCTGCAGTTTGTTTAGTGATATATTTTTTACAAAACAACCAAACTTCATTGCTTTCCTAATCTAATCTGCTACTTCTGCTTTTGCGATTACAAGGCAAATCACTGCATCAGGTTTTTTTTCACTCTATGACATTATATTAAGGTTCACAGAAGTCTTAAGAAGACATGTTTGCAATTTATATGAAATATTGTTGTGTCACATATATTGTGCAGGCATGCTTTCTGTATTTTTACTATTACAATAGCTTGGTTCAAAATTTTAGGTGAATCAAATACTGCTCGTGTAGTTGACAGGTGAAATGATTCCACAAGGGAACTTTTCATAATCACCTGTGTTTTTGGCTAAGAGTTATACCATTTTAGAGTGAGATTTTATGTTCACTAAGGGCTATAATAGGCTCCCTTTGAGTGGAAATAGGATGGAATTATAATTTCATCTGTGCAATACATATTTAACTAATGTGGCAGTTGATAATGTTTTGCCAGTCAACCCACGGTATGATGGTTGTAACAGTTACATCATTTTCTTTATTGTGGGAGAGGACATGTGAAGAAAGGCACTAAGAACGCGCTTTTCTCTTTGAGATAGGGTTTCTCCTTTTTTTATTTGAAATTTCCCTTTCCTTTCTCCACATTTCCCACTGCTCCTCGGCTGGAACTGTGCTCTTTTCAAGTTGTACCTTTGTTGCAGAGGAGTGACTAATGCTCTGCTGAGATATCTCTGATGGATCTACAGTAGTTCATTCCTTTTTAAGACTGAGCTCAAGACTCTATAGGAACATCGTTATTAAAAAAACAACAAAAAAGTTCAGCTGAAGTAAAGCCACTCAGATTGAAATACAGGATATTGTTCTAGATTTTTTTTAAAAAATTGTATCATCATATTAATATGATGTAGATATATACAGCTGCATTCATCTACAACAAGTTATTTAATGTAATAACATATGGACATGAGCAGTATGTTTTGTGCTTATTTCAAGATGCCACCCATCAAGCTGAATATTCAATGAAGCAGTAACTGGCAATTATAAACTATCTAGTTACAATCTTATACTCAAAACTACATCTGTCATTGATGTTAACTAGTTCTGTTATGTCTTTTTAATTCATGTGCAGCAACCTCTGTCCAATGGCACTGTGCAGAACCTGAAACTTTTTTCATGAGCTCTTCGTAATGAAAAGTGTTTAGTCTCTATTAATGGCCTCTATTGCTACTAAATGTGGTTTTACCAAATCATCAGTGGACCTGATCCAGAAAACTTGCCCATCACTATGAAAGTTTTTCTTAGTATTTAGAAGTCCTAAACAGGTGCTTTTGACTTGGGATCCTTCATCAGATCTTTTTTAGTAAATTCATATTCAGATTTTTTTTGATGTTTCACTGAAAATAATAAAATCTGTGTGGCTTTGGCAGAGGATTTAAGACATACATTTTTTCCTTTTTTCTAACATAGAAGATGTGTTTCCAATACAGCACAAGTTTTGGAGGAAGATATTATGTTAAAAATATGAAGCACATGTAATTATTCTATTTGTTTTGCTGGAAGCAAAACTTCTTTGCTAAAAGATTTAATTCTCCACTGTTGAATGTGGAACCTGCTTACATTTTAACATGAGGTTAGGTATCAGTTGCATGTAATGATAGAGGAGTCTTTAGTTTGAAGAACAGAATTAAGTTCAGGATAGAAAGCATTTTGGTTTTGTGCTGGACAAGATGAGAACAGAAGACTTAAAATACAGTAAAACAAGTTCTTAAGCCCTAGGAAACCTTTTCTGAAAGCAGGTATGATGAAACACTGTAATATATGATATGGCAAAGGTTGTCTTCATCACTGGAAACTAAGAAAAGAATGAGACAACCATCAGGTGTAGCATTGGTCCTGCTTGGATCAAAGAGAAACACTGTATGGTTTTGTGAACTCCAATCTACAGCACCATTTATCATTATATTTGAGGGACCAATGTTGAAGGTATTGTTAGTTGTTTGCATGATATTTCTTCTCCTCTCTCCCCTTCATGAATGTCATTGTAGATTTTGTTTAAAAGTTTAGACATTTATGCCTCAAAATACAAACTTCTAAATATGGCTTTATATATTTTCTTCAACAAAATTAGGAGTATGTTCACCTATGGAATAGGTGGAATATTTCTACTTATTCCCCCTAACCTTTTGTCTCAGAGGTATAAATTAGACTGTATTTGAAATCAAGAGCTAAAATGGACCACTTCATCCTTTTTTAACAGAAAGGTTAAGTTGATTGTGTGTAACCAATGGACAGTAGAGCCCTATTTCTCTGTGTCAGTGTTTTGTGGAAATGGTTTTGATCCTTGAACTCTCTACAATGTCATTCATGTAATTTGGAAGGGTCAAAGTAGTTACTGGTTTTTAAGATGCTGCTTTGCCAGTAAAAGTAATTTTATTGACCCATTTATACTAGTAGAAAAATACTTCCAGCTGTATATATGAATTTGTGATATACAAGTCTTATTAGTTGCACTAAACCAGAACCAAAGCAATAACAGCAAATTTCCTTTTCTACGTCTTTAAGTTCCAACATTTGAGGAAGTAACATCCATACAACTTGCATGGCAAACTGACCTTGCCTTAACAGGGGCTGCTAAAAGTTTTTTGGTAAATGAACTGGTCTGGTAGAGAGCTTAATCCTTCATATACTTCTCTTTTGCACTCTCTTTTTGTACTCTAGGACACTCAAAAATATCCAGTCCCTACAAATACCACTGTGCCCTTGCACCACGACTGCCTTTTTTTTTCTCTCTTCCTACCTCCCATCCCCTATCCCCCTTTTTATTCCAAGCTGTTTTGTTTGGGTTTTTTGATTGTGTTGTTCAAGATCCTATGATGAACTGCAGGGCTTATTTAAGTTTGTAATATAGTCATAAATGTTCTCTAATGCCATTAAAAATGTTCTTCCTGCTACTACTTCCTTTAGTATGTTTTTTTTTACTGTTTTTTTCACTGTGTCTCAAAATTTCTGCTTTTTTTTTTCTTGTAAATTGGGTGCTATTTCTTTAGAATGGAGAAATTTGTTTTCAACATCCAGTCAGGAAAGCACCTAGGCATGAGGTTTAAGGGCTGAACTCATTCAGCAATGGCTTGTCATCATAGTAGCATCTTCCCCAGACTGATTTAAGATTGCAACCAGTGATAGTCACTTAATAATATATAGTATGGCTTTTATTTACCATCTACGTTTCTTATGTTACAATCAATTGTTGTGTGTATTAGCAGTTGGAAAAAGAGCAGTTGTATAGACTGGTAGTTTTTGTATGCTTTTGGCCTGAGAGGTTAGCTGGTGGAGATCTGAGCAAATAAAACCAAGGAGCACAGCCCAGGGGTTAGTTCACAGGGTCAGCATACTTGCCCCAGAGCTGTGTTAGATTTGTTCTGAGGTGCTTCACTGCAGTAGGAATCAAAACGGTATGTTTGCTATCATCTGGTCACTGCCACCTGAACAAGCGACAAAGCTCAACAGTTATCTATGACCTCATCATAAATAAATAACAGAGAAGTTGGAGCTGCCACTTGATCCAATTAAGACCTGTCCTGATTTCGTGTTGATTTTTATGGTGCATGCCTTTCACAGTTGTGTTGAATATCTCCATTTACATTTAAAATAATGTACAGTGTAATAACTGCATTAGGTCTGCCTTATATTGTGTTTCCAATTCTTTTCAACCATGTAAAGAAGTAAGTTATTACATGTTTGTGTTGTACTGTGGCTCACAGTCACTCAACATTTAGTGAAAGGGAGCATGTTCTCAAAGCTCATACTCAATGACCCAGTTAATTCTATCAAATGCTCTTTAATATTTGTAGAGGATATCAGCATATTAAGGGCTTTGACTGAGTGCACTGATGCATTAACATTTTTTTTAACCCTTGCTTTGGAGAGAAAAAGAAACTAACTACTAACAACCTATTTGCTCTTAAAACTTCTGAAAGACCTACCTAACTGTTCAGATAATGCTAATGTCCCTGAAATTTTTGTTATTTGCATGTTCCATAAATAAAACCCTTTTCCTTATTGCATGGACGGGAAAAATACCTCAGAAAGGGAAATATTAGATAGTTGTGCAGAGTTTGTGTAAACATTTTGCTATTCACCACTAAAACATTATATTTTAAGATTGTTGTATTACAGTTGTACTATTACGATTACAAAACATCCCAATAAAATAAGCAACACGAGTCGAGTCTGTAATATGGTATATATAATTCTAAATTAAATGAGCTTTTTCAAGAAAAAAAAACATATGATACACAAATTTTCATTCTCAGTTCAGGTCCTTTTTGTTAAATTTAATTATGTAACATAATGGCATGTACTATGGGGATAAAGAGAAATGAACAGAAGAGGAAGTTGGCTGCACATGCTTTCAATATATATTTCCAAATGATAAAAGATTGCCCAAGTACATGTACACAAATGTGTGTAGCTTAGTTGTAGCTAAATAATTTACCTTTACTCTTTCACTGCATTCCAGAAAAGGTGACTTTATGCCCTGGAATTTTTCTTATAGTTCATAGTTCTACATATTTACTGAGATTACATTTTTCTGTGCAAAGAGCTAGGAACGATGGGCTTAGCGAAACGACGACGAAAAAATGACCATCATATTGTTTTGAAAAGCTCTTCTAGTTTGGAATTGCACATTTGTATGCAAATGACAGGCTTTTAGATAGTCTAGTATTTGAGAATATTTGAAAACTTAATTGTACACCATGTAGAAGATTTATATTGGTCTAAATTCTGCATCTTTGAGCATACGTTCTCTTTGTTTCAGATGTAATGTTTCTGTTGTAAGCGACCTTAAGAAAAGTATACTTGGGTATGAAAAAACTGTTAAAAAAATTGAATTACAGACTTTTATTACTTTTTGGGGTATTTTTCCAGTCCCAAATCCCATATATTTAATTTTATCGCAAACTAAATATTGTATTTTTTTTCCTGTTTTATTGAATGGGCAAACAGGGGTAGATTGTCCCCCTCCCTAGAGAGGAGACGACCTACTAGTCCCAGGATTCATATCCAGCATGCATCTCCGGAGGATGACAGGTACTAGTCAGCTCCTCCCAGTTGAAAAATGGCTTACTGCATCTTGCACTCTCAGAGGAGTACACTGAAATTTAGAACTATGCATATATGCGGAGAAAGAATTACAACCTCCAGAAGCCCAAAATAAAGCAGCAGTTTAGACATCATCTCTGCATTTTGTTGAACTGTTATAAAGCACCTAGGAATTAACATCTTTTCAAGTTCTTTGTTTGCCTGAATGGGCATAAGCCATGAAATAATATGTCTGATACAACAGAACATCATCTGTGTTAATGTTCTTTAGTCTGTTTTGACCTGCTTCTGTAAATGGTGGTGGTGCTTTCACTGTGGTGCTTTATAATACTATAAATATTTGTTGTAGAGCATATTCTCGTATATATGTTTATATTTATTGGTTTTGGTTTTTCTTTTCTTAACAAACTGTTCCTAATGGGGGAAAAAACCCACAACCTGGAAGTCTTGTTAACATTTTCTAGTTAATGTATGTAAAAATTGGCACTGTTTGTAAATTCTGTCCAAATCAGGATGGTCTCCATGGAGCAGGTGTTCCTAATAAGGTAGGTTTTGGTTAAGACTATCAAGGCTTTAAAGAAATTTTTATGCTGAATATCCCCTGTGATTGATGAAAGCACCTTTGTTTTTTACTTCTCATGAGCTTTCTAATCAGATCAGTTTGCGGTTCTCATTACTTTGGCAGTAGTAATTTTTTTGGTATTTTTGTGCCAGCTAGATCTGGGGTTGTTTTAAGCAGATATTATAATTACTATTGAGATGCAAATTAAAATTTTTTCCTTTCAATCTTTTGTACTACAGTAAGTGACAGGATACAGATGGTTCATGTAAATAATCTGTACATGCTATTATGAAGTTGCACTTGAAGCTCTAAGACTGGTATACTGATAAAACTCGGTTACTGTGGTGCCAGTTCTCACCTTCTGTTAAAGTCTATCCACATTACTAATATTTATACTATGATTTATCTTGTTTGCTTGATGCTGGATATATTCCTCTCATACAAGGAAGGAAGAGTATAATTGTGTTTGGAGGACAATTATTTTCTTATTTGAGTTAGCAATATAAACTATGAAATTAAATTGGTGAAACATTATTTCAAAGTTGTCCCCCTTACAGATACTGCATTTCCAGAAATTTTTCCAACACATCCATTTGATGGGACAGCTATTAATAGTTTAAAAATGTAGTTTAGGACTTTTAGGAATTTTTAAGTAATTTTTTTTCTCATTTTTTGAGTTGATGGAAAGATTGCCTTTGACTTCAGAGTATCAGATGATGAAATATTGTGATCAGAAATTTAAATTAAATCATAATCATATCACGTTTCAGTGAAATGAGGTTTTCATCTAAATTCTGCTCTTTTCAATGCAAAATTGTAGGCCTTTTTATGTCAGCTGAAATTTTGTGGAGAAAGACTGAAATCATCTAAAACCAGTTAGCAAGCATTTTATAGTAAAGCATCTGTAGGATATAGAATCTGTTATGGGAAGGATTTCGAGTTGGACAAACAGCAATCTAATTTTCTAAGTGAAGTCGGTGCCTTATTGTGTTTGTAAGTCTTGCATGCGATCTGGTCTCCAAATCTCAGCAAGAAAGTCACTGATGAACCTAGAAGGGGTTTAGCTTGACCTCAATCCTGATGAATGTTTTCAGCCTACCAGTTCTGGGATCTTTCTCCCAGATTAAAAGAAATTCTGAGGACATTGGACTCTTTGCATTGCATGTCCAATACAAAGTAGTAGCCCACCTTGTCTGCAGACAGAGTATTAGTGAGGGAATCAAAGGCACTTTTACCTTCGTTTTCTACTCTTTTAGTTTTCATTTGTTCTGATTATTTCCCATATTGCGGTGGGCCAACACTAGTCAGCTCTATGATTTTTTATGGTTTTTTTAAGATATGCTTGTAACAACTTGAAAAGTGAAGCAGTGGGTGTTGGGGAATGACTGTCTGATGGATCAGCAGGGCTAACTAACTAACTACTTATCACCACTTGCAAATAATATTTCACAGATTAATTGACTTTGACAGGTGTCATCTTACTCTTCATTTGAGTACATTACAGATTTATCCTACAAATTGGCCAAATTTGTATATAGGGTGCCGTCAAGATCTATTTATGAATACAGTTCTTAAATGCCTATGCCATGCATTATGTCCAATTTTGATAATTTTTTACAACATTTTATTTGTTGATAATGATTTCTAAAATAAATTTTAATAAAAGTCCTTGCAAGATTATTGTTATTCTGGACTTTGTTCATTTGCTGTATCAGAAAGAAGTGACTCTTTCATTACATTGACAAGTTGAGACATGAGTTATGTATTATTTCAGTGTTAAGAATTAACAAATGTTTGGTTATATCATATATTTCTGTAAGATATTTTAAAGAACATAATAGCTTCGTTGCTGGAAGGTTTTTAGGGGGGTTTTTTTGTACTGGAAATTAGAATTAGAATGTTTAAATGTCTAATGCCTACAGCATAGACAGACTGGTATCTGGAGAACTGTGAAACTGAAATTGTAAGTGATGATAAAAACAAGGGAAATGAAAGCTGAGAATTTAATGGTAGGTGGAAATTTTATTCAGACTGTTCTTTTTGAGAGGTCTGCATATATTGTCAGCATATAACCAAGAGTGGATAAAAAAAGCCTGTAAAGAATTAATTATCAAATACTTTCAGTTAAGAGAAGTAACTTTTGTCAGTCATGTGTGCATCTATAAGAATGCTTATCCAAGAGTCATCCTGAATCCAGCTGTAGAGCAAGTGCCCCTTTGGTACTTTCATGACTTTGCTTTGCTATGCTGTTCACTACCAGTAAAAGAACGATTTGGTCTGATTGATCCTTTCCCATTTTTCGGCAACCACTATGTGACTTGATCAGGGAAGCAGTTTTTCAAGACATGAACTGAACTGCTAAGAATGAGCGTGAGGAGGTGACAAGCCTTCAGAATATTTGTGGTATGTTCACATACCATGTAGACCCAGCCTTTTAGAAAACATCAGTAAAAATCAGGAAGTATTGAACATGACATTCTTGTTGGCTTTAAGGCTACATAAAGTAGCAGACTCACTGTAAAACACTGAGGTCTCTTGTACAAGCCAGTAATAAATAATTTTAAAAAGTTAGACACTTAATTGTATTATAATGTTGTCACTTTAGGAATAGTAATTCTTATTTTTGATAGGAATATTGTCATATTTCTCTTTATAGATTTTGTTTACACTCAACAGTGTTAAATATTTTGAGGCACGTAGGTATTTGGAACATGAACTTGAATGGTTTGTATTTAAAATAGTATGAAGTGCCTGTCTATATATGATACCCATAGATCACTGATTTGGTGTCACAGTTGGTAGATTTATGATCCAAAAGAGAAATCTCAGCATTTCCTCACTTTGTTGTAGGTATAGATGCAAATATATTACATTACCTAGATTAGTAGTGGACTGCAAATTTTCCTGAGTTTTATCTTTAAAATCCAAATTTGATATTTGGAAATTCAGAAATAGTCTGATCTTCATTTGTTTTTTTTGTTTTGTTTTGTTTTGTTTTGTTTGTTTTGGTTTTTGTTTTTGTTTTTGTTTTTGTTTTGTTTGTTTGTTTGTTTGTTTTGTTTTTGTTTTTAAAGAAAGCTCAGTCAGTTATTCTACTTTGCTATTGAATTATTGTTAATTATTACTGTAGCAGATTGACTGGTAACAAAATAAGAACTTCCCATCAAAATATATGAAATTATGAAATTTACTTGTATTTTCAGGAGAATTTCACAGTATAATGACAAAATACACATCTTTGTAAGGGAAGATGTTCCGTATAGGTTTATATATTAATTTAATGAACGATAGCATGGATTAATTCTGGAGAAGGATAATAGCACCTATTAGACTGCAGTGCTGCCATTCAACATGTAGAATATAAAGGTTTTTTAAAACATTGTTGTGACTTTCATTCTATAGTGTATTACATCTTAGACTGTTGATATTGCATCTAAAAATTTTAACATTTCCCTACAGTCTTTGGATTAAATCAGTGGATGGACGAATAAGAAATATAGCCTTTTTCAACAGATAGCACCTTAATGCTTTTGGTTTATATATTTGACTGCATGTGTCCACCTTCACTGCATGTGACCATCTCTTTGTTTCTGCTCATTCTGTCCAAATACACATCCATGTTTCCAAATATTGTGAAGAACAAGGACGCTGGAGTCTTGCATTCCAAAACAGGACAGTGTAGACCACCTAAGTGCTAAACCTGGAGCAGCACAGAGGTATCCTTATTTACTCAAATCATAGATAAATGAGGTATTGGTGATAGTATATTCTTCATATGCTCTGCATACTTTCACATGTTTTCTTTTCGGGTTTTATGTACAAGTACATATATGCATGTATTGCTCATGGATAATATTTATCCTCCTTAAAGATACGTTAAAGAGGTAAATTTGAGTATGACATGAGTGTTCTTACCCCAGCACACTCTTTGTACACTGTATGTGAGCACAAAAGGACACCTATTTCTAAATGCCCACGTGCCAATGCCTGCTCGAGCTGAGCCAGGACTCCAAGCACTGTAGTAGGCTGTTGAGCCATATGGAAATGTATACAGCATCATCTTAGCAAGAGGAAGAAAACAGAAAGGAAACTGATTTTATGAAATTTCTAGTATGGGCTGCTCCCAAGGACAGCGCTGAGAGCAGAGAACTAAGTATATTCAGCTCATTAGGGCTATGTATTATTTTGTTACTTTTCATAGGAAAGCATGTCCTACTCTCAGCTTTTCCATTCTACTAAAAGTAGTCACTATGTGCTCTTTTTCTCCATTGCATGTAACATCACAATCTAAGCAAGTGACACAAGGAGTAAGAGAAAAAGTAGCCCCAACCAACCAAGTAAACAGAAAATGAAGAGAGTGACATAATTTGAATGATAATGCTGCTGCATACAGTGGATCTAGCCCTAACTTTGAATACTTTGCTAACTGTAGGTTTTACGTAAAGCTGCAGCATTTAATATGTGTGATTTCCTGTGTACCTACCTTATGTTTGTCCTGGTAAAGGAATAGAATTGAAAAGTAATGAAAATATACAAAGAATAAATCTGAAAAAAATAGCTTGAGGACAAAAGGGATTTTAATTTTTAATCTGAAATACTATTTTTTTGTAAGAAAATAGATTCTTTCAAAACCCAGAAAGCTTCAGGTAATGACCTCTCATTATGCAGAAAGCATTTTGTATTTTGCTGCAATGTTTTCTTTGTTGTGGAGTATACTGCATCACAATATAATGCTCATCAAATATTGCAGTGGGTACAAATAATGAAAATCCACTGTGATTATGTTCTTTGGGTATAATTTAGTGTCACAGCTGTTTAGGTATCTTCCAGGTCAGACATTGGATTACTCTTTATAACCACAAAGGTTTAAAGGAGAACATATTACTTTAAATATTATTTTTATCTATATGTTTTGCCCCCAGTAATTCTTATATAGCTTAATACATGACGTTGATTGTATCATTACAAGATCTTACAAGTGTTAAAGTTTGTCAAAGTTTCTGGTCTATGAATGAATAATCATTGCTCCCTGGTTTTGACCTCTCCTGTGGGTTTTGACCACTAAAAGACTAGTATTGATGATTTTTAGAAGTTTAAAATTGTAAATCCTACATTGTAAATGCTCACATTACTATGGATAGTACAGAAAATTTTGGAACACAAGATTTGCAGAGATTTGCATAGTATGTTTATAGTCCTGGGTAGTAATGATGAAATATGACTTTACCTTTCTTCTTACATGTATCGACTCATATTGCTGTTCATAGTTCTTATTTACTATCAAAGTAAGCGCTTAGACTGTCAGAGGTAACTAGTGCCTCACTGTCCAAATGTCAGATGGATTCTGTAAAAGATTTTTGTAGAAATGGAGTGAGGGAATGAAATAAATTTCTATCTTATTTATATTGACTAGAAAAAAAAATAGAATCAGTTTAAACTGCTTCTAAAAACTTTCACAAGTTTTAATAGGCTGAGAATTTTAAAAGCCAAGTTTTTATTAATATAGTGACACCCTTATTTAAATCTGTTATGATGCAGTATTTGTTTTGCTTTTGAAATTTAGATTCAAAACAATTTTAAAATTTACGTTTGAATAGTATTTTCTGATAGTTTCTGCAACACTTTATTCCTACTTTCTACTCTGAATTTGTTTTTCATGCTGTTATGAGTTGACTTATAGCCTATGAGGAGGCATTGTTTTAATCAAATACAGACTGTGAAGGGGGAACTAGTTGCAGGCTCAGTCAGGATTAATGTTTTCTTTCCTGTTTTGGTACCTCATAACTCTCACACCATGAGCCTTAACCAAACCTAATCAGTGCAATGCCTCTTAAATCTCAAATTCACCAGCCTGTTCATGATGATCATTGTCACTTTCTTATCTGTCAACCATTTCTGTTATTACCTTTATAATACATGAATAAATGATCTTCATATTTCTGTATTCTTTTTGTTCTTTGTTTATTTCTTTTCTGACATGTCATTTCACAGGCAGTCCAGAAAAGTGGAAAGATATAGCAGCCAAAAACAAACTAGGAAAGGCTCCGCAACTGAAACGGAAAGGTAGGATTGTTGATCGATGTGTAAACATCTCCTATTATCAGTCTGATTCCAGTTTGTTGAATATACCTCTGATACAACTTTTTTAAAACACCTGTGACAGTACCCAAAGCAATGTTGTTGTAATTGACAGTATTATTTACTTTGTATCTCTATTATTAGCACTGTATTGCATACATATGGAATTTTTCTGGCATTCATTATTGCAGATAAATTCAATGGTAAAGATTAGCAGTTAATTTCTGCACTTAACCACTGATTTTTTCAAAAAATCTTTATTTTACATTAATTTTGAGGATGATAAAATATAATAGATTAGATAGACAGATATAATAGATTATTAATTCAAAATGTCTGTGATCAAGTTAATTTCACTTTAAAATATAACGAAGTTAAGTTACACATTTAAATATGTATAGAAAATTTCAACATCATTATATAGAGTTAATATAAACACTGAAACTTTAACTTTTGTATTTATTGAATTTTCCTGAACTTGTATTATCATCATAACTTTTAACTTTGATGCTACAGTGGTATGGGGTTACATATTCAAATTTTTAAGAAACAGTGAAGAAAACAAAGATATATACTGAATCATAAGAACATCTAGTAAAATTTTAAACCCTGTGTCTTGCTAAAATAAGAGCAGTGAGGAGGGGTGAGATCCTTCCTCTGTCAGAAATAGATTTATGTTACCTTGATGAGCAGAGGTGGAATGTACATCTGTTTACATTGTGAGAGCTGAAAATCTTCCATGAACGACACAGACATCTGTTTTCAATGAAAACACACATTACGTAGCAAAACTTCAGAGCTTTTATTTTGTTTTACTGCTTCAAGTCCCAGATTATCGTTCTTGATAAAAAAGCAATGGTTACATTTTTCTTGAGTTTGATTATTCTGTTATCACAACAACCCAGTTTCCTTTTCAGTTTGAATAAGAGAAATTACCTAAATGATGGCTGAAATCCTTGCTATGATTGAATCAGGGACTGTTTTGCCACAGAGATCACTAAAGCCATTTTTTCACCTGTTTTTTCTAACTCCTGAAGAGTTAGAAAGGGGTTTGGTTCTTGGTAACCATTCAGCAATGAGCCCAGTGAACAAGAGCACAGGGAAACATCAATTGTGCTGCTTCTTTTTACATCTCCATGACCCATACTGTAGGTTTTTGTTTCCCTAAAATGATTCGCGGTGGTAGATGTGAGACAAAATGTCTAAATAAGTCTGAGCGCTGTAGTTCAGTATTTCTTCATAGATATAATATTGCACTAGTGCCAAAAAGTTTTGATAATAGGGTAGGCAATTAATATTCTTATAAAATATAATTCAAGACTCTTTCTTCTTCAAATATCTATTTTTTCCTAAGAATTGCTCTTTATTTTGCAATTTGCAAACCTTGTCTATTAGTTAAGCAGATTAGTGGAATAACATATCAGCATGCTGTCAGCTTCTCTATAAAGCATTTCAGCATTTTATGTAAGATTAAATTTTCTATGTATTGTGATAGCTTAGGAAATGTACATAAAAGGGAAAAGGCCAACCTTTTCAGGGTAATTTACAGAACCTAAACCTTCTCTTAATTCAATGAGATAAACCTTCAAGATGGAATTCAGTAAAATGTTCAGAAGGACTAAGACTGATTACATGAAAATCCAGCATTTTCTGTTCTTGTCTGACTGAGCAAAACTTGTAAAATTTGGTTCATCCCAATCCTAAAATGTTTTCTTTCAGCCCTAACTAAAGACTCCAGAAATACCAGATGTGACGTTACCTGTCATATATGCTAGGATACATACAGTTTTTAACTGTATTTTCTATATTTTGCATAGGACACGATACCAGGGGTGCACTGGATTGGTGATGCTGTCTTATTCTTAGGATTTTTTTATAGTTTCTTAGGTGGCAGCATGTTTTATTTAATATGTGTCACTCAGGCGCCTGTCTGAAGAGAAAGAAATTTGAGTTTTCTTGTATGTTGGCAGAGCTGGAACCTGTAGGATTTCTCTGTAGACCATTGCCAGCTGAATTAATAAGTTTACTCCTTGCAGTGTTCCCACCTTCTGTGAGGAACCTGGAGATGAGATACACATGTATGTGCTCATTGCAGTCTCATTTCTCACCAGGTATCATTTTTCCCCAAATTCCTCTCCTCTTCATACTTCTTATCTCAGTTCTGTCTCATTTTCTCACTACCTTATTGTCTCCCATGCTTGTTTCTTGTTCCTTTTTGTCTCATTCTAGAGATCAGCCATTTGCAGGCTTCTTCCTTCCAGCAACAAATCTTTTTCCTAGGCCAGCAAGTCCTTAAATCCATTCTAGTTATTCTTCAGTTGCCTTTTAGCTCTCTTTTCATTTGCACCCCAGGTAGCATATTCATCTCATTGTAATAACCCATCTAATGCAAATCTCGAGCCTTATTTATCTTCGAGTTAAGCAGATCCTCTGTCTTTCTCTTGGAAGGGGACATGTCTGTAAAAAGAGTATTACTGGAGAAGGAGATAAGTTTCTGAGTTGCAGGTAAGTCCTGTCCTGTTCTGTAACGGCAGGACAGACTCACAGTGTTTCAGTAGGCTCTCAAATAAATTCCAGGATATTTAGCCTCTAAAATGAAAAATATCAGAACTGAGGACGTGATGACTTTTTTAGATTGAAGCATTTATTCATAGTAAAAGCAAACAAGAAGTTTCTGATACTGAGTGGGATTCATATTTACCTTATGGATGTTATGATGTTTAGACATCTGATAAAACAGATGCTTAAAAGCTGGTTATGTGCAACAGTTAGGATAGATTACTTTTACATTCAGCATGGAGAAACAGGCATTTTCAGAACTCAGCTCATCTTCATTATCATAAGCATCTTTCAGAATCAGCCGATTCAGTCTCTTCAAGAATGTCATAGTTATCACCAGGGCAAGCCAGGAGTTAAGCTGAAGAAGTGTTAGGGTTTAAGAGAGAATATAAGCAATGGCAACAGAATCTTGAATTTTTTGCATTGTGACTGGTCTTCCACATAAACTGTTACTGATGAAATGGTTTTGAATCAAAACCTGTTTGTTATCCTTGGTAGGCATCTGCATGTAATTTCATATATAGGGTTTTTTTTAGGATAACTTCTTAGTGTATGATAGTCATATGAACCAGACAGTTCCTTGGTTACTTAGACTGTATTTGTGGGAAAGTTATGCTGGATGTGTGAGTCTACAGAAATTAAAAAGAACCCAAGCAAAACCACCCCACAACGAAATGATGTCACAAGCCGTTGAAATTTCTGAAATAACAGCAGATATAGTAGCACCATTTACAAAATGCTGCACTGTTGGAAAGCCAGGGAAGAGTAAAAAGGCACATTTAGAATACTTTGGCACTCTACAAACCTGAAATGCTTCAGCTTATCCTTTACTTGCAGTCTATGCAATTACTGAACTAGTATTAATTATGCTTTATTATGCTAACATGATTAATCATTTTACTGCATAATATAATTTATTTTCATTATAGTTCCTTCAGAACCATATTTCTGTTTTAGTACTTACAGATACTTAAATAGATTTCTTATTTCAAACTGTTGGGGAAACAGGGAATTACGTATGTGCCTCCATATTGTCCTTTTTTAGGACACTAATTGAAATGCAGTTAGTATTTTTAATAAAGGTAAAAGGTATGTTTTAGAAACAGAAATGCTTTGTGATAAAACTAGGTATTCACAGCCTACTCTGGTCTAGTCCTTACGTCATATGTGTTGTTAGCTTGTGTTTGCTGTGTTTAAGGTGCAGCTAGAGTTTTTGGCCAACTTTCTGCTATAAGCAGTGCAGTTCAACAGTTCCAAAATTAGGGTCATGTGTATCTGCGGTGGTGAGTGTTCTGCAGTTTGTCATTTTGAAAACAGATTTGCATTCATAATTAATAACTTCTATCTGAAACGTCAATCCTGGTCCTGCAGCCGGGATTTGCAATGTTCTTTGATGGAGGGGGGCAGGGGAAGATGTGCCTGGAGCTAACAACTGAACAGTTTCTTTTTGGCACTGATGTTTTAGGGGTCTGCTACCATGTCTTTCTAGAAGGGGACTTCCAACCCCACGAACAACTGAACAGCCAGTCATTAGGGGAAAACATCACACTCGCTCAAGGTCGAGTGAGCAGTCTAGTATCAAACCCTTATGCTCTGTACATCACCTAGCATCCGGAGGGTCGGCGCCACCTTCTCCACTTCTGACAAGGTTGCTATTATGTGTACAGCATAGCCTTCATGTTCTGCCTCCCAGGTTTCAGTGTGGTGTTGTACTTTTCTGAGCATACTCGGCACGTTCACTCATTCTGGCACTATAGATTATCCTCTCTTCATATCCTTTGTGCCATCTATCTTCACCATCCAGATGGTACTTCTTGCTGTTGAATTTAAGTAGTTATGCTAAGTAAAAGGTTTGCTGTGTTTTGTCCCTCCATTGTTGTGTTTTGTTCTGTATCCATCTGAAAATTATCAAAATACTTTTCTTAAACACTGTGCAGAAAATCATGTGCTGTTCACACAGCTAACTGATCTTACAAGCTGATATTACAAGTCAGTTGATCTATGTGGTGAAAGCCAACAGTATTTTGAATTTGCACAAATGTGTTACTTAAAATTATAAATTATCTACTTGCAACCCTAGTGTAGTAGATGAACAGTGCTTATCCACTATAGTGAATCTGATATTACTGTAACTGGCAAGGACATTTCATAGTAAGCTCTCCTCAGTGATCTGCTGCTTCGCATCTTTGTTTTACTTTTTTAGACCTTTTCCCCATAGTTATTATAGGTGCCCATACTTACTTTAAATGCCAGCATTCTGAAGGTGTTTGATGTGTTAAACTCAGAAGCTACATCTATATGTAAGAAATCAAGTAGCCACGTTGTTCTGAAATAGTGCTAGTTAGAATTCAACAAAGAAGTTTAGGATATTCACTTAGGTATAAATATTAAAACTCTAATACATGCTTTGCATGACACACAGATACACTCACACACACACCCCACACACCCCAATACCAAGGTTAAAGGTTTTTTTCCTTTGAGTTCAAAGAAAAACCACATGCTATCCTATGGGAATCGATACTTGCTGTCCAGTTCTCTGTGACCTTGTGCAATTATTGCATCAGCACAAAGGGAATACTAACTTAATGAGACACAGAGGTGGCATTTTGTATTGCCCTTGAACCAGTGCAGAAGAATGTATAAATTGTGAGTCATAATCATAAATAGTTCTAGTGCTTTTCATTCAACTTTATCTAAAAAAGAAAAAAAGGAAATAAAAGAAAAACACAACAAAAAAACCCCCACAAACAAATAAATTTTAAAAAAACCCAAATCCATCAAAGGAAATAATTTCTTCTTAGTCAAAGGTAGTTAGAGAAATTAAATGTGATGCCTTATAAGTTTACCAGATATCTAGACCTGGGTATATGCATATGGCATAGACCAAATGCAGACTTTTTCACACCCATCTTCAGTATCTGCAACTTAATATGTGTTTAAAATTCAGAGTATAAAAAGTCTCTTCATTTGACTGATTTCACTTTTATCTTAATTTCATTTGCAGAACACATCAACAAGGAAGTCCCACACAGTCTCCTCCTGCAGACACATCCTTCAGCAGTCGTAGGGGAAGACAGCTACCGCAAGTTCCAGTAAGAAGTGGCAGTATAGAGCAAGGTATCAAATAATGAGCTTATGACAGCTCAAACTCTTTGATTTCTTACCTTTCTTTACTCAAAGTCTACTTGCATACCTATGTGCCCAATGCCATATTTCTACCAATAAAGCAATAGAAGAGAATGAAAGCATATTTTTAGTTTGGGAAATCTAGTGGAGTTTGACTGGTGGGTTATTGGTACATATGGTTTAATTGCCTTAATTTTCTAGTACCATTTTATGTTTAAAATTTCTATTAGTCATAGTAGTTTCCAACACATATCTCATATGTTATCAGCTAAAAAAACCAGCAACATTTTGACAGTCTTTCTCATTTCTTATTTTGTGGTTTATATTTATTGTTGTGCATTATTAACATAGATTAATAATAAATATCACAAATCTGTTTTTTGTCTGGAGTTCATACTTCAGTGAGTAAAGAGTAAAAATAATCACCATGGGAAATGTTAAAGTACAGGTCACGAGCCCTTTCCTGCTTAAGAATAAACTGCTCAGGCAAAGACCGCTGTTTTTATGAAAAAGACAATATAGACCTAATGGTTGTGGAAGATGTGTTTTACATACTCATATCAAATAATATGTACATCGCTGTTTCCTTTTCTAGCAACATACAGAGTATGAATTATTATGGTAAAATGAAGTGGCGCAATGTCTGATATTTGCACATTCATGTTTTCTTCTCTGTTTTAAAAACCCTGTTTTCACATTGACTGCAAACAATTACTTGGTTGCCACATACCACAAGGTTTTCTTTTATGTGGAAATTAAAGAAATGCTTCTAATGAAATATTGTAGTGCTTTACAGAACTGTATATTAATCACACTCTTGGATAGATGATGTTGCTGACCATGATGGCCTTATCATGACAGATTACCATTGGGGTTTTCGTGTATGATGGCTTGCATTAACAGAGAATCAGTTTGCATTAATTTTATGGTGATGACATACTAAACCTTCAATTAGCACATATAAAACGTACTCTTGTTTTATAAATGTATTTATTTTGAATTATAAATATGCTAATATAAGTGGCTTTTAATAACCTTAAACTTTACATTCGGGTCCTTTTGTAGTGAATCTAAAACTGTCTGAATTATAAACTAATTACAAACTACATTTGCAGTTTCTATTTCTGTGTATTAGCAAGTTGAGTGCTTTTTAGGGAAATGTAATAAGTAATGAATTTCAATTTTCATGTTTCTTCTTCAATTTCAGAACTTGGTGCAATATATAATGATGAATCAGCTCTTAAGTTAATTTTAAGTTGGCTTTTATTTGGATACTCATATATCATCTTTGTGCTGTTCTTGATAGCTGATGTGTGAGAGTAAAATACGAGTTTCTTGTTTTGTTGAAGGCATTGGAAATACATGTAGAACTTAACGTGAAACTGAGTAGAGGTGGGATGTGTACAGAAGAGGAAAGAAAAAAAGAAAGTTGAGCGGAAGACTAAAGCTTCTCTGAGTTTAGAAAGTTGTTGATACTGTGAACACCTGTAAAGTAATGCCGTTTCAGTGAACTTTTGCTTACACTTGTGGTTGATAAGCTTGTGTCTTATACATAAAATACACGAGTAGGATGCGTCATATTGTTTGCTTTGTTGTTATATATCATACCACTGGTGTCATATGGCTGTAATACAACACATGGATTTAAAGGTTAAAGAGATTTCCTTCTCTACACAGTACTTTGATTTTGTCTAAGTGACTGACTTGTGCTTCTGAAAGGGAGGTTTTCTGATTTTACCCACATTTAATACTCTGTTCAGGCTCAGAATGTATTTGCAGAGAAGTAGTAAATTGAATAAGTTTTATAAAAGGTTTCTAAATAGTTTTGTTAGTATCTGCTGAACTAAATATGCTAGTATGTCTAACTTTGTACTACTGTAAGAAATTAAATTCAGTGAGGCATTGAGACCACAGTATTTGCTCAAATTTTAATATTAGTTTCATCTCTTTAATCCCTGTCAAATGAATATCAGTGTCAAATGTAGTGACTAGAAGTGATCTGACCTTAATATAGGACTGAATCCAAAGCATTCTGAGTTCTGTAAAAGATTTACATTAACTGTACTTGAAACTGCATTGTGTCTTTATTGGTTTAAATTCACAGTCACCATAGATAGAGATGATGTCAAAATGTAGTGCTATATACAAATGTCATAGGAAATATTTCAAAATGTGTTTTCTTCATTTACAAATGAAACTACATTTTGATGGTCAGTATTGACATCCTGCATTTCCAGGAAAACCTGTATGATATTCTATAAAGTATCATTTTTATAGTAAAGTACTTCTTTACACTCTATACAAATCCTGTTGTTCGGTGAGGGTTGAATATACATCTAAATAGATACATCTATGAATCTAAGTCTGTTATACAAGTCACAGTGATTGCTGTAAAAAGATTATGTGTCTGTATATCAAGGATGGTCTCCTTATTTGCTCTTTGCATATTCAGGAGACATAGAAGAATCCAGGAAAGTAATTTTATTACTCTTTAAAGCTCTCATTATGGAATAAATGAGAGTTAATGAAGGAGCAAGAGACTGGTAGCGGTTTTCATCTGGAGAAACAGAGTGATATTTTGACTCTTGATCTTTACCTATCATGTCAAATGATCATATTCATGCTAATAAGGCCTCTTTAAGGACTGACATTGCATCTCAGACATTCCATTTTGTTGTCAAATTTAGAACTAAAAAAAGGTTGTTTCCTTGTCTCTACCAGATGTTGTTGTCTTAGTTACTACTCTGGCTGGCAGCTTGAAAATCATAAAATTTCAACTTATGAGAACATAAGATAGTTTTACAAGGTACTTTATTTAAAATAAAAATCACAGAAGTAGTTGGTACAGAGAAGACGAAAGTAGTGCTCCCTATGCCATTACAGAAATAGAGTTGGTACTGCTGATCAGGAACAGAGAAAAAAATGTAGAGAAAAATCCAGTTTAAGGACTAAAACCTCAAACCAGCACTGGCAAAAAAAGAAAAGGCTTCTTGGTATTATGTTTTAAAAGGGAGAGCAGCTTTGTGTAGCTTTGGAATAGAGGAGGTGCATAATTATTTTCATTTGAGAGAATTCCAACTAAATATTTTTACCAACTCCAGCGCGCGCAGACATTTTAAAGTGGTTGCAGTTAAGATTGTAGGCTTTTGTAATTTTTAGGCAATATGATTTTTATTTTACTTACAGTAGTATTCAAGGAAGTCATAGTTGTATTTCTTTCCTTTACAACCCTGTCAACAGTATTTCTTAGAGTCCGAGACACATTGGGATGTTATCACATCTAAAAGACTTGAGATGCTTTAATGTTGGAAGTTAGTCATGTATAGATGAGTCTGTGTGTGTTTTCAAGACATCACAATTTAATAGTCATTACCCTATCTTATGTTACTGAAGAAGCGGTTTTGATTTTTTTTGTGTTAACTGATAATTTTATAAAAGGACCTAATGCTATGAAGATGTTTTGGCTCAGTGACTAAAGCAGTGAAATTCTAAGCTGTGGTAAGGACAATGGTGTGTTCTCAATATGTCATTCTGTGCTGAGCTGTAAGAGATTTGCTTCACTGTTTTTTTTTATTTGCATCATGTTTGAGTGGAACTGTGCAAATTGTTAAGGGGGTGGGGATTCTGGGTTGACTTTGTTTTTCAGCTGTTTCTAAAACAACTTTGTGATGTAGTTGCGTTGTGTTTAAATGATACTTCTTTATAAAGCACACCTCTGTGATCTTTACTCAGTCTGTCCTCTGTCATTGCAGCTATCAAACATCATAGGAATTCTTGCTTGAATAGATTTGAGGGTGGGTCTCTGCACTTTTGTATAATGGTTAATCATTGTATTGATCAAGAAAATTAATACACCCTGAAGATCTGGAACTTCTTCCTTCACTTCTTTTTACCTGTAGTAGATAATAGTAGGAATTATAGTAGGAAATCTAGCAAGTAAATAACAAAAAAATACTGTTTACTATTGAAATTTATGGACCAACAATATAAATACAATGATTGTAGTATAGAAACAGTCTTTCAAGGCTAATTCTTGCAAAACAGGTCTTTCTCCCTCTATCTGCTTCTATTTGGGTCTTCACAGCATGGTTTCTTTTTCATAGCTTCAACAATGTAGTTTCCTATTTCAGAAGTCCTATAATGAGAGTAAGGCTTGTGATAATTAATAGTCTTTTTAAACGTAAAGAACACCTGCAAACATAACTGAAGTAGGGTGTTTGTGTGTGTTTCCAGTGGCAATAGGCCTTATGGAGTGACACTGAGAAAAGCAGAAGTGCGTCCAGCATTAGGTATTGCTGTATCTTGGCTTATGTTGGAAAAGGCTGCACAAGCTTTGTACATAGCTTGTATACAGGGTCAAGTGCATGTGTGCATGTGTGCTACTGTTGTTACATGAGGAAAAACTACATGAACATTCTGCTGGTGCTGAACGGGGATTGCACGTATAAAGTTCATATGTGTAATATATATACAATGGTAGTCACATCTCAGAGGTATTAAGTGTTTTGATGCCCTGTATTTCCTTTTTAATGAATAAGAATCATAACTTTGTACAGAAAATCAGTATGTTGTCAAATAGTACATTGAGTTGCAAGTATCTTTTTATATTTAACCAACTTAAGATCCTAAAAAAACCCCAAAAAATGAGTTGCTAGTGAAAACTGTTCCGTTTATATGTACTTGATCATTGAAATGTCGTTGCAGTGAGAGTATGATTGGGGTAAAGGTAAAAGATCAAACCCTTTCAGTTAAAATCTTTTTTCTGATCTATCAATATAAGAAAAAGAAAAAGTCACCTCAGTTTTAGATTTCAGACTTTCAGTGTTGTTTGTTTTGTCTTCATATATCTGGTTTTATTTTTAAATTAATAGGTGGCACTTCATATTTTGAGGCAGCTTGTGGAATCTTTACTCACATTGGAGAGCATTCTTTTTAGCATTGCTAACTCTTGCAAATAAGTACAAGCCTCATAATCTTGTATATTTGCCTGAAAAACTGATTTTCAGTAGTCCAGTGGTTATTGAGCATTATAGATTTCAATTAATAGAAAATAAATTTGTAACACTCATTATTGCAGAAAAGGCTTCAGAATTGAAAATAGTACTGTGTAGTTCAGGGACAATGATACTTAAAGCAATTTTAAGATTTTTATGTCATTCTTAAATTTGGGTATGATGGTACTGCTCTAGCAGAATACTTAAAGACTCCACAATCTGGTTCTCTGTAACTTCATTGTTCCTCTTAATTTTAAAGAAAAAGTCATAGGCTTTATTATTTGTCATGGTTTATCATTTTAATTTTCTACATTACTTTTACATATGCTGGAGTACTGCCTACTGTACATGCCATTGTCACATGTAACACATTTTGTTATCTAACTTTAAATTTGCTGATTTCTTTTTCTGTTTCCATCATTCCGTGCATTTAATTCATTGAAGAGCAAGAGACTTTTAACTCTCCCACAAAAGGTAAATATTTATGTAATTTTTTACAAATGTTTGGCGACTGTTGATACTGGCTTTTCCCTCAATATATGCCACGTCAGTTTGTAATATTTAGTTAACAGTGTTTGGCATGTGAAAAAGTTCTTTCTCAAATATCTCTATGCTATCTGATGCCCCTGGTTAAAATCTGAAAATGGTTTCTCTTGTGATTTTTCATGTTCCTATTGAAATGCAATATACTGGATTTAACAGGAGTAGTTATGATATTTTACATGGCTCAGAAGGTACTTGATTGAGGTAAAGTTCACACAAAGAATTAAGATTTTTCCTCAACTGTTCTTGTGCACAGTGTCTGCTTCTAATGATGCAGCCATGGCCCTTGATATCTGTGAAGAATGTTTCATAGATGTGCATCTAGGAACAGTTGGAGGTGACAATGACAGAAACTATCCTTTGTATGTAGAGAGATTCTGAGCTATGTTCTATTTGCATGTCAATCCCATGACACTCAGAAAGTAAATCCTGATGTAGGACAAGTTTCTAGGGGCAGACATACGGTGCTCACCTCCTATGAATTTGGCCTCCTGTCAATTCTCCATGTCTGTGCTGATACCAGTGAATCAAACAACAGGTATCTAAGGCTGTCCCATGAAATGCAAAGCGTAGTCTGTCATGTCTTTAAAGGCCACATTGCAGAGATATCCTATTTTTTTTTCCTTTTAGCTGAAAGCAGAATTTATATCAAAATCCAAATGAAGTTTGGAGAGAAAAAAAATGAAAAATAACCCCAACCTTTTAATTTAAAAAGCAAAATACTATGCTGCACAAACATTAATAATGCAGATTAACCTTTTCTAACCTTTATTCCTGAGTCCTGCACATCTTAGGAGATTCTGATCTGAATACAGGCTTTGGTGGGTCAAAGCCAAACTGTGAGTTGAACTTGATTCAAGGACTTTCCTTCTACTTTTTACTTTCTGAAAGGGTGAATGCTTAGGTAAAAATACAGCAGCTACTCTACTAGCTATACATTCCAACCCCGATGCCAAGCATACATGAATATGTTTTCACAATAATGCCAAAAAAAAGATGAAAAAGAAATAATATTTAATTTAGGCATTAGCAATCAGAGGTTGTTTTTGCAGGTTTAGGAGTATACTATGAAATGTCGTAAGAAAGTGCTAAGAGTGGTTGTTTTTACAAATTATTTCTGTCATTTTTGCTTTCTTCAATATTTGTATTTTTCTCAAACAGAACAGTACAAATCAATCTTACCTGTTTGTTGATTATGCCTCTTTCAAGTTCACAAACCTTGTCCTGTGATTTGGGCTGCAGTGGATGGTGTTTTGTTTAAAACAATGGACTTTATGCAGACAAACTAGACTGCCTGTAACAGGTTTGTAAAAAAACTTGTTTCCACAAGATTTGGATGGATCTGGCCCAAGATTTGGGCGTGTATAGAAGGTGGTGGCATATTTGCATGCAGATTCCTCTGGTTCAAGGATTGCAGATGCAACCCAGAGGCAGAAAAGAGCTGGGCAAAAGAAGAGGAGAGGGAAGAGGCAGAGTGCTGGCAGTTCTGGGGGACCATGAACATCTTAAATTGAGCTGACTTACACTAGTAGCCCAGTGTCACTTCTGATAAGAGGTTAAAAGAATAGACAGTAGGTGAATGGGAGATGAGGATGGGGGAATTACAGGATATTATGTGAGAAGAGACAGAAATATGAGGGAAAGCATATACTACAGGTGTGAACAACACTGACCAGATAAACCTGCAACAAAGCAATCAAGCATCTGTCCCACATTATCAATGGGAAAGGTTGAAAGTCTTCAGCAGATTATGAAAATGCTGACTAGGTTTGATGTCAAAACCAGTGGTTTACTTTTTTTTCCAAATTTTAAGAGATATGTGTTTGTTTTCATGTTGTTTCATTTTAAATGGAAACTTCTGTGTGGATCATCCTTGAAAATGTTTGAGGAAGAACTGAATGTTGCATCAGCCAGTTCAGGTTTTTATTTTGGCTTGTCTTCCCTCTGGAGTCAGTTCTGAAACTCAAGATGGCCACCATGCCTCTGTGTGTACTGGGAGATCCAAGCTCATTTCCCAGCTTGGAAGTCTGACTATGTGCTTTGGTCATACCTTAATTCTGACTGGGAGGAAGTCCAGAGCAGTATCGGCTCCCATGGAAAGGAAATCCATGTGCACAAGCTTAAAAGAGCCACAGCAGCTCTAGTCAGGTAGAGGGACCAGGGCTGCAGAGCAGGCTTCAGAGCCATCTCCCTTAATATCTGCACGTTGACATGAAGTACTCTTCAAAGTTGTTTATGCAAAGAAGCTGTAACAAGTTCTTTATCTTAGCAACAAATTGATTTTTCAGTGTTACTAACCTCACGTTTCAAAACATTTATCTGCTCATGATTCCAAAATTTTGTATGCTTTTTCAATTTCATGGTAGACTTTGCTCTGAATTTTTATAGTTGTGAAACCTGTCACAAGGATATTTTGTGCCTGCATATTGCAAAACTCACCTTGAAGGATGACCAGAAATAAACTGAAGACTCTGTATTATTTCTGAAATGGATCATCCTGGTCCAACACTAGTGTGAATTCTCTTTTCTATGCCACACAGCCAGCTCTACACTAGGGGATTCTCCCATCCAAATCACACCATGGCTTTTTTCCCCTGCCTTTGTTATGGACATAAGTTCTGCCTAGTTTCTTCTTCAGCTGCCACTTCTCAGTTCCTCAAACCAGATAGTTTTTTCCCCCTGATTCCCATCCACAGAGCATCTAAGGAGCACAGACAGATGAAGCTCCTGGCTTTTGCTGAGTAGAAAGGCTAAGTGTACATGCTTCTAGGCTGCATTATGGCTGTAGCTGTTTGTCACTGTTCAGCTTTTTTATGGATTATGAAGACTGAAACTAAAGAATAGGTCAGACCTCTGTTGGCTTCTGGGATAAGTGCAATTCTCTGTTTCCCTGCTAGAACATGCTGGTTTTGCCCCAGAAACACTGTTACTATGAAATAGTCTTTATGAGATAAATTTTCACTTTAACTTACTTCTCAGTAGCTTCCTTATCCAAGCACTCTTTCTGTCATTTTACACTTCTAAACTTTTTCCTTTGAAGTTTGCATCATAAAGGATGTGTGATATGTTCTGGAAAGAGTTACAGCTATCTGAAATCTTGATGCAAATTTCTTCTTGTTATGTAGCTTACTCAAACATTTAATAGTGCAGTTAAGACTTGGAGGTTTCCCGAGTTGTGCTGTTTGCCTACAGCTCCTCTTTCTGTCTTGATCATCTTCAGCAGAAACAAGGAGTGGCTCAAGAGAAAATTCTGTATTTGTTGTAGACTCTACCATTACAGAAAATGGTACAGCCAGTGCTGAGGCATCAATAGGTTTTCTGTAGTCTAGAAAAGACAAGTATGATTATCAGTTTTAATCACAGACCAGATAGTGTCACCAGTCATTCTGGCGTTAAGCCCATGCTTGGGTTTGAGCAAGAGTGTCCTTTTAGACACTTTCACTTAATACTGCAAGTGATGGAAAACTGTTCCTATGCTTAATCACCTGACTTTTTAAACGTATGTGTTAATACTTATCTGACTTTACCAACCTTTTTTGTCAAGTGTATGAGCGAGTTCTTTTTACATGTTATTTATTGACAAGAGTCACTGTTTTCCAAAGTCTGCAGAATGTAGAGTCTCTTTGATGATTGTTGTAATATGAAAGAGGTGGATACCTAAACAGTTAAAGCTCAGGAATTAAAAACAAGAGCTAGAAAGGCAGGTATAGGATTTTTGCTGTTGCTTGCTAGTTCAGTATTCCTGCCTGTGTACAATCCTTATTTAAATGATCCCACATAGTTTTCATACATTATGCTATCAGCTTAATGGATGGTTGTTTATAGCATCATGACATTTACGAAGTTTTGTAATTTCTTAAAGTTTAGACCCCCTTTCAAACCTTAAATAGAGAAGTTTAGGCCTTAAAAATACTTCAGTTTCTTTTGTGCTGGTCGCTGTTGTTAGTGCTGCTTTTTAGCTCTCACTAATTTTCATGGAATTGGTCTGTTGTTGATGCCAATGCAAATTTAATTTCTTTTAAAATCACATTTCTTGAATGGTTAGATTCACATTCTGTGGATAACAGAAATGTGCCATATGATACCTTCTGTCTACAATAGTTTTATTAAAAAAAAAAGAAAAATGTTATCTGCCCTACTACATTTAATACATCAGTATAGTATATTGTTTTTGTAGTATTACTGTTGTGTTATTTTGTACATAATTGAAAAGGTGGCATGTATTCTGAACAGTTAGGATTCTAGCCAGGTCTAACTTCTCTATCAGTTAAACAGCAGACAGGGGTTGAAACATGCCCATACTAGTTTTCTGAGGATAGGAATAAAAATGAGGGCTGTCAACTAGTTAATACCTTCAGATGTAACTATAAATCTTACCATAGTGCTCACATATTAAAAGGAATATTACTAGTACATAAAGTCTTAGTAAACAGATAAAGTGTTAGAAAGATTAAGTGTCTCTCTCCTTTAAGAAAAAACAACTGTTAGCTAGTCCTAATTTTCTCTGAGGGTAGATAGTAGGCTGAAAATGAGATCTGTAGCTATTTTCTTTAGTTTATTCCCTACTTCTTTTAAGTAGTGTGTTATGGACTTGCGTATTTTATATTACCCCCAGTTTTCTTGCTGATGATGACGCTGTATGACATGGAACGTCCCTTTGGTCAATTAGGGTCAGCTGTCCCACCTGTCTCCTCTCACAGCCTACTTGGGGCTGTGGGGAGCCTGGACGGTATGGTGGGTTGCAGCATGAGAAATAGAGTAGGCCTTGGTGCTATGCAAGCCCTGCCCAGGAATTGCTGAAACATCAGTGTGTTATCAACACTTAGTCGCAACTCTAAACCTTGGCACTACGCAGGCAGCTGTGAAGCAAATTGCCTCCATCGCAGTCAGACCCAGTACACCTGGGATTACAGGAGTCAGACTGGTTTATAAATAGATTAATGGAATTCAAATACAACATGTTGATTCCATTCCTATGTCTGTCTTTTCTCTCCTGCATGGCTTGATTCTTTATGTACATTATTGTCTTGCAAACTTCGCATGATTTAATAGTAGTAAAATCTTTGGCTATAAACTCTGACCCCTTATTTAAGTGGTCTGATCAATGAGTACTGTTTTTTCAATTACTTCTTATACTGATCGATCTCACATCTGAATCATCAGCTCTTGAAAAGGTCAGAGTTATAGCTCTTTGCAGCATAACTTCTGACACCAGAGAGTAAGATGTGACGAAACTGTAGTAGTTGTAGTTACACCATTAATTTGAGACCCTTATGGTAAATCTCCATGTTTGTAATTTCTATGGCCACTGTACAATTTAAAGGTTTTAGGATTACAGTGCTTTGATCTGTAAGTTAACGTGTAGTCTTACCTCTAAAGACCTCTAGGAAAAGCACTCTGTAAATACTGATGCCCTAAAAGAAAGTATACCCTATTTTTCTAAGAGGCAGGCTAAGTTCTTGAAGTATTTTTTGTGTCAAGTTTTTGTTACCTGTGGTAACCAGCTGTGTTCCAAGAAAGTAATGTGATCATATGGTGTTGTTACCTATGGTTGTTACAGTTTTCCTATTGTGCTTTTGCTACCGTGTTAGATTTTTTTCTGCTTCTTGTGATTAACATGTAAAGGTTATACTGGGCTACTTGTCAGGCAGATGAAATTTTCCATCACAGAACTGAACTACAACATATGCTCAGATGTACTTGGTAAACAAAGCTAAAAAGAACACAGCTGTATTTTCTAGAGCAGACTTAATGCTTCATATAATTGCATGCTTAGAAATAAATTAACAGCCAATTGGTGCTAAATTCCATTTTACTCCATGCACAACCCCAAATTTCTCCATTAGAGAATTTAGATTTACTTCACAGTCCCCATTAATTGTTCTCATGTTATTTTATATAATGATATCTAACAATGAAAACCAGAACATAAATGTGTTAAGATTGAGGATTTAAACATAACAAAAATCAAGAATTACAGAATTAAAGTTGATTTACCCAATTTTGACTTCATTAATAATATCTGAAACAGCATTTCATCACATAATAGAATATTCTTTCTCAGGCATCATAACTAATACAGACTAACATTATATCATACACATTCTTTAGTATAACATACAGTTGACAGGGTAAAGCACCTAAAATTCACACAATGAAAGAGTGATTTTTTTAGAGTAACTCTGATCTGTGCACCATACACAAATAGGGCTAAATTTTTAAAGGGGTCTCATTTTTCCCTCTGATTTCATATCCTCAGTCTATTTCATGCACGTATGACAGGATTAAGATATCAAATTTTTTACTCCACTCCCTAATTGATATATCTTAATCCTTTCATATCTGTCCTTAAAATACGAGGCCATCTTTAAAAATTTCACCTAAAGTGCTCAATTTTGCCTTCAGATACCTCCATGCAACTTCCATTGAAGTAATTGGAGCTGTGCCTGCATATCTGATGGTGGAACTGGACTCATTGCAATTAAGGTACACATTTACTGACATAATTAGTCATCTGGAATAATTGCTGGGCCCAGTGTGACATTCTGCATGTGCAGAATTTGATAGATTAAACTCTGCGTGTGGGAGATTGAGGATTATGATAACTTTATTCCATGCCTTAAATTTGCAGTTGTAGCAGAATTTTAATGTAAATTGATGTATTTAATTTTCCTATTTTTAAATAAGAAATGTGGAAGGAGGACGTGAAAGCAACATACTTTTCACAATGATGTCTCTGTATATTCTTTCATACCGAACCAGCACATAGATATTCTGTTATTTGCACATTTACAGATGGTAAATGTGCACACAATCATGATTTGGGCAGTGACGTACAGTTTAAAATATCCAATCCTGAGCTGACTGCTTTTTTTTTGCCCTTGTATCTTTGTGCTTGCAAAGCACAAACAAAAAAATAAGTGTGTAAAGAATGCCACAGTTAACTAACAGCATAAAAGCCACATATGAGAAGTTCAGTACCTCTTAATTCCAAATACAGATCTTTAACAAATGTGACACAGTACTTATTTTCCACTATTTTAAAATTCTCTGCATTTTGTGATTGCAAGTTGATTCCATGCAGTTTTTAAATTGCTGTCTCTCTCCCATCATTGGTCTGGGGTGGGCTGTTTGACTTTCAAAAGTAGTTGTTTTGGAGAGAGTAATATAAATCTGTGATTGACCCAAAAGCAGAAGATTTTGTGGAGGTTTTCCCAAATAAAAATGTGACCACAAATGCCAGCTTAAAAACTGTTAAACCACAATGAACATAGTGAGTACTCCTGTGATTTAGTTACTGATGAATATTCGGGTCTAGTTCTAGAACTGTTAAAAAGAGCCAGTTCTCATGGTATTGTAGTTCCAGTATTGCTTTGCATTTACAGTGTTCCAAATTTAAGAATACATAGTCCCCTCTGAAATTTATTCACTATCACAAAGGTTAACTTATTTTAAGGAATCCTTAGCCCAGAGGCTTTTGCACTACTCTCTCTGTTAGTGCAAGGTCATCTACCTGTGGCAGGCACAGTCAATATTAATTGACAATTAATTAATTAATTGAGTTAATTAATTAACTTGTTCAAATTGAAGAAGATGCTCTTTATAGCCCCCCAGCTTCTTGAAAGCTTAAGATAAGACTTCTGTTTTTAATAAAACACTGCTATAGGAAAATTTAAAACACAAGAAAAAATAAATTATTTGAAATAAAGGTGAACCTTTGAAAGCAAAGTAGTGATTTTAAAGGACTTTTTGTTTAAAAAAAAAAAGCTACAAAAATACTGTTTTTTTTATATGACTGGTTGAATGAAGATATTATTCCTCTCAAATAGTCTGTAGCTATGGCAAGCAGTTATGTTTCAAGATAGTAGTAGGAGTTAATTACTTTAAAAATAAATTTTAATACCTGTTCCATGGATTAGTGCTTGGAATGCCATTGTAATATTTTATACATTTAAGCAAATACATTGTTAGATGATCATGGATTTATGTCCCCTACATCCAGAATATTTAACAGGTTTATAATTCAGCCTATCAGCTAAATTCTTTCACTCTTTTCATATTTGTTGCACCAGCTTGATTATGTGTAGGAATTGGGATGTCTGCCCATTTTCAGGTAAAGACTCTCGCAATGGAAATGGTTGATTTCTTGACATTAGTGTTCCCTTGTTCTGTGCTTACACCCTGCTTGTTCTACATGTTTGTACATTTCTTTGTTTCGTGGAAAAGGAAATAAGCTAAAATTGTTGCTAAACCATTTGTTCTTTTCCAAAAATTTTTCACTATTTTTAATTGATCTTCATTGTGTGTTTTTGCAGCAAGCTTAGTAGTGGAAGAGCGAACGAGACAGATGAAAATGAAAGTGCACCGTTATAATCAGACATCAGGGTCTGGTTCTAGCCAAGAACATGAGCGTGAGCAATATACCAAGGTAAAGTCAGTAGTAATGGAATGATACTTTGGCCTGAAAATTGAGGGCATAAACCTGTTTATTTAAAATATTATATAACCTTCAAGAACACTGTGTTTTAAAGCCTGGCAGAAATGTCTTCAAGTAATAGCTTTTTAACATCATTTTTGCCCCCCTCTGATGTACATTAAACTTAGTCCTTGATGTCACCTAAAAGGAACCTGTAGATAACAAAACACTTCAAACTTAATTCAAGGAAGAAAGATCCTTCAATAGCTGTTAAACAAAACCATATCACCTCTAGTTTAGGAAGGCCCTGGCCTGCAAATCCCTTGAGGCTGGAAAAGTAGGCCACGAAATTATCATGGTATGTTGGCCCTACTCTAGGCCCTTGCTGATATCTGATGTGTAGAGAGCTAGGCAGAATTAGATCCAATCCCATGCAGCTGTTCTCATATTTCTATAATTTTTTGCATCCTAATAATATCATAGATAAAGTATTTTCTTTCTTGAAACACATACTGATTAATTTGATCTCCTTTTGTAATAAAAGCGTAAAGATTTTTTTGTGATAATGAAGTATACTTAAAATTATGTTAGTGATGTTATATAAAGGATTTTTTTTCTTGATAATGCTAAAATGATTATTCTATAACCTTGTAAATTTAAACTGTATAGGCTTCTAAGCAAGTTGCTGTAAATGTCTTGCACATCTGCTCTGCCGCTTAGGAATCAAACTGTAAGGAGCTGGATGCTGCTGGAGGCACAGGTTAAAATAATGGATAAGTGAGGTACTCAGCTGAAACAAAATCAGAAATTTATTTTGGAATTGTTAAATAGGAAATTGGGCATCTAACTTGTAATATGTAACAAATTTCAAAGTTTGGTTCAAAAACTTACTGCAGTTAAATATGCAGACAACTTTAGTACAAATGTTTCTGTTTTGACACCACCTCATTGTGAACACAAAACTTCCTCAAAAGGAAGAGAAACAAGAGAAACAAGGCTTTAGGTCCTCAATTGCCAAATTGTGGGGTATGAGTGCTATTAAAATACCTCAATATTTGGGATGGAAACTTCCAGTGAGATCCTTTATCAGAAGCAAGAATTTGTATAATTAGAACAGCTCATTTGATGGTTTGGCGTTACCTTCAGAAGAAGTCCACTCAGGGCAAAAAGGTGAGATGCGCTGTCTCTGCAGTACTTCCCAACCAATAAACATGTTAGAAAAAACAGTAAAACTGGGGTTGATAAAAGTTTGCTGGAGAGAAAGGTAATATGTAATCTGAGGACTTTTACCAGGATTTGACCAGAGATGTTTTAGAGTCAAAGGCCAGTTTTCTCATTTGGATTGTATGGGTTTACACATTGATTGAAATTTGTGTATTTTACATTATGAAACAGATTTTTTAATCCCAAGTCTATAATACTTATCATAAGCATAATTTTTGCTCCCTGGTATGTTTTTCTTAATTGGTTAGTGTAGATCCAATGTATGGTTAAATACTTGTTGGAAAACATCAACCTTCAATGTTACAGTTTTCTCTTATCCTTTAGAATCTTGAGTTTTCTAGTATCTTCTTTTGTTTTTAAGTGCGTGTGGAAGTTAAATCAAAATTAAAAGTGGGATTAGTACTAAATAAAAAGAACACTGAAAATTCTTTTATTCAGAATTTTTTTCCAAGAGTATGAGGACAACTTTGAGGAAGCAAATTCTCTGTGAGTTGTTATAAGAAAAATATTTTTGGAGCACCTGATGTTCTGACAGGCATGTACTCTTTTTAATGCTAAAACAGTACTAAGGAGAATAAATTAGTTGCCCTGGAGTTTAAATCTTTAACTTTTCATGTATTTTCTACATGATAATGCTTCAGTCCTAGAGAGAATGGTCCAAACTAGAATGAATTTCAAGTCCTGAGAAGAAATTATATTAGCCCATTCGAACACTCTTTATGATATTCAGTGATGTAGCTATTTGCTTCATATCACTATGGTGATAGTCATTCTTTTAAAAATGTTACCAAAGCAAACCTTATGCTACTGTCTTTACCCTGAGAAAATGCTGAAAGAGTCAAGAAAATAACCCAAACAGATGAAGAGTTAGACAGCTCTAATGAAAAGGTAGTAAGGTGGTGCGGTAATGCTGATGACTGAGACTTCTAAGAACTGAAGACTATATCTAGTTTCTGCTGCCAAAATCTGTGAAAAGTCTTTGAAAGCTGCAGAAGAAGAGTTACTTTAAATAAAAAAAAAACAAACACAAAACTTAAGTGGTATAGGGAAAAATAAATATTAACTGACTAGTAAAGAAATGGCCATTGAAAGCAGAGTTTGTCCCTTTTTAACAGAAACACTTCTTTCTTTCCCAAGTATCAGTGTTTGCCCATTGCTTCAGAAAATAAATATATTCATTAGAGAAATTATGCTGAGCTGCAAATTGATAAAATATTCCCTTCTCTGTTTCAGAGCAATCAGCTCGCATGGATTTGATTCTTCCACTATTTTAGCATTTGCAAATATGTTTGTTTTATTTACATATAAAATTCTCTAAACCTCTCAAAAATTTTCCCTCAGTATGGACTGGATGACATTTGCAATAGTTAATTATGCATATACAAAATAATTCCTTAGCTTTTCTGTTGTATTTAAACAAGCAGGTTTTTTCCAGAGGTATTGTAACCTGGCCTTTGCAATTTCCAGTCCATTTCTGGTGCATTTCTTCCATTTTTGTAATTTTTCCCACTCAGTTTCTCAGTCTTCTAGTCTCAGTAAGCAAACAATAGTTTTCCAAGCATACACCACGGAAGTTGTGTTTAAACATTCATTAATGGATTTTGAATAGGTAAATGTCTGCTCTCAATATCTGTATATGTCTTCTGGCACTCTGTGGATTTACTCCTGTGCTGGTTGGATTTCACAAAATTCAGTGGGGTCCATTCATTCAACTGATGGGCTTCACTGGAGTTTCCTCATAGTTTGACTTGCCCATATTTACTGTTCCCTGTTAGGAAGCTGAGTAGTGTTCATAGTAGTTTAGTTGGATACAATTATAAGAATAGTTATTTAGAATCACTGATGCTTAGTGGGCTCTTGAGCATGACGTGAGCTGCTCCTAAGACAGATGCTGTTTGAGTCAGTGATGAGTCCTGAACATACCAAGGTGCTGACTGCTGGGCTGTGATTCCTGGCAGCATTCAGAGGAACCCTATGTGAGTGGTAATAAAACTCAAGGTCGTTTGTATGAGTCAGTGTTTTCTGACAAAATTCCTTGTTAGAGTAAGGTACCTCAAAAGATAGCTGTGATCTCAAGAGTTGCATGAGCCTCTGGCTGAATCTAGGCCTTAATGTATCTGGTCTGGTTTTCTCTTTCCTCATGTTAATGTCCTCATTTTAGTGCCCATTTAATTTTCTCATTTAATTCCCTCATTTTAAGCACATAATGAGGTATACGTTTGTAGAGGTTAGTTATCTGGGGCTTTTTTTGTAGTCAAAGGAGGGCACACTCCTTCAATTTTCAAAGCTGTGAACTGTTGCATTCTTCATTGTTTTGGGAGATAAATGTAGAAATATAAATACTTATTAATATGGAAGATAATTTAATTATAATGGACTATTAAATTACTTCCAAAATGTGCCTTATAATCAATAAAATTGCAAACATTGTTAGTTGTTAAGGAGCTGTAAAAGTATTTGTGAAGTGCCCTCTTTTGGTTTATGTCTATGTTCTTCCCATTGATGCTAACACATCTGCAGTTCATCATACCTCTTTTTCTCCTTTTTGATGCTGTAGAAGAAGCAACAGCTCCACAGGTGGTAAAGTGAATGGAAGAACTGAAATTCAGCTGTTTATAGACTACTGTCTTTGTAATGCAGACACAAGAGAGTGCAGATAGTTTGGGCATTTGAAACTAGCTGCTACTAATGTTTAAAAACCCAGACCTAATCTTTAGTAATTGCTATCAAAGTTACTGCAAACTTCAGAAACTCTCCTAATGTGATAAATAATGCACCTTGGAACAGAAATATTTCATAAGCTTTAAGAACGAGAGTTGAAGGAGAAGTGCTTACATGGAACATATATTTTATTTTGAAGCTTAAAAATTATATAGTATTTAAATATAACATGTCAGGGAAATGTATTGCAAATAGAAAGCTATAAAGAGCAGCAGTTTTCTGCTTTGCAGTAGAACTGTATCATATTACTTTTGAGCCCAGGTGGAAACCTGAACGCATTACTTCACTGCAGATACCAAATAAGAGGGTCTTAGCCCATGATATTTTTTTCTGAATGATAAGTTCAGGTGTATTGCAACAGTAAAATATTCTCATTTTAGAGATCACTGCTTTGTGGAAGAGTACTATTTACTTCTCTTTATATTTTAAGGGAAAAAGTATTAACTTCAAAATTGCTTTAATTTCATTCATCTGTTAGCTGAGATGACTGATTATCAGACTGTATGAGGGGTGGGTAGGAAATCAGTAGGAAAAGTGTATGCCCCCTGTAGAAGTTGGTGAATTGATTAGAAGCAGCAGCTATGGGAAGGGAGAGGTAAATCCCAAAGAAGTAGTAGCAAAATGTAAACATTGTAGCACTCTGCGTTAACATTCATCATCGCCACTTTTTGTCCTAATCTCTATTTCTGTGAAGGGAAAGGTTTTCAGTTTCTGAGGGAATTACAGCCCTCATATGCAGTATAAAGGGGTAGGAAAAGCTCAGTTATGCCACGAAAATCTCATTTAGGAAGGGATGTTCCATGTTTTCTCCACTAGCTGTATGATTGCAATACAAAGGCAAGTAGAAGACATGGATTCAGTTTTTTCTTTGTCTCCTATCTCACCACAAAACTCTCTTACCAACACATGAAAAACTGTCTTTTAAGCCAGTCTGATAGCTACAAAACAATTCCATTTTTTACAGACTGCTGGACTATAGGGAGCCAGACAGGGTGATGATATCTATATAGCCCTCACTTACAGTAAATGGTTTCATATTGATACTGAATAGTCATTCATGAGGCTTA